AGGGGCGGTCAGTTGCAGGCCCCGCCCCTGGTCACACGGCGCTGTAGTATGTGGTGGCTGGCATCTCGCCCTGTGACACTCCTGCCTGCCTCCCCCGCCATTTTCAGCATTACAATGAGATCATGTGGTGTTGTTAATCTCCCAACAATGGCCCTTCTCTCTCCTCTTCCCCTCTGTTCTCTGCCTCGACATTTCCTCATCCCCTCTTGTCGTGGTCTCCGTGCTCTCACACACTTCTCACACACTAATTCAGCATCTCATCAGCTGTCGCATTCACTCTGTAAAACCAAAAGTGTTCTACTTCCTCTCTCCTGTCCCCTCCACCAGCACTCACCCAGCTCTTTGGAGCCTTGGCTGTCACTTGCCAGTTCTCCCAGTTTCACCAGAGCATCAAAGTAGCCTTTAGCTGCCACAGTAACTCCTGCAGAGGACCGCAAACTTCAGAAAATAGTCGTTTTCGTTCACAAAAGAAAAAGATCTTTCAGGCTATTGTTATCCTAACCTGTTAAAGCTCTCTCGTAGTGCTTCCCCATCGTCACAAAGTTCTTCAGACTGGGATTGAACTGGTCCAGAATTCCCTGTTAGCGACACAAACGACACAAAATCTGAATCATTTTTACAGATTGCACGCTTTTAAACCTGAAACTCTGCAGTTTTTACCTTGTAGACATTCTCCGTCATCTTGTTGACCTCTTCAGTTCGAGACATTTTTTTAATCTTGCAGACCTATTTACCATTTATTTGTTCTTGTTTTCTGCTGATCTGCTGCCTATGCTTTACAGAAGTCAGCAGTCCTCTGAAAATACGTAAAAATGAGACAAAGGTTGTCAGTTTGCAGCATTTATTCAACATTTTCTTCACAGCTTCATGCAGGACTCGTCAGAGCTGGGTGGGATTCAGATGGGAAGGCCGTTGCCTAAACCATCACACGGATCACTTCACAGCTTCACACCAACCCAAATATTTCTCCAAGACAAGCTGCACCGTCTGAACAAACATGCAACACTTGTTTGATTTCCCTCAGCGGAGAGGAAGCGACGAAGACGGGAACCGCTCCGGGGACAGAGGATTTCCAGTCTGGATTAAATTCCAAAAAGACTCGCTTGGTTTTCCCTGCTCAGCCCTCCTTTTTTTGTAATCACGGCGAGATTACAGAGAAAATGTTGACCCAGATCAGCTAATGCTATATGACACAAAGAAAACAGTTCCAGGCTGTCGCTCATTAGGGCCACACGGGTGACTTGGAGGAGAAAGAAGACAGAAAAATGGAGAGTTTGGTTCAAACTTCTGGAGTTCTTTGTGGGATTTTCATTCTTCGGGAAAGCTGTGGATGGATCAGTAAACTTCTAGCCTGGTTAGGGTTAATTCTGAGTAATAAAGTGCTGTTTGTCTGAGGATCCAACAGGAAAAGTCTGCAGGTGGTTGGGAACTGATACAGAAGGTGCATTCATGTGAATTAGCCACTTCTCCCAGTAACATCAAATCAAATAAACCCATTTTTCTGCTAAACATTTGAGTGCAAGACTAAACTTCAGTTATTCACATCCTTAAGCAAATGTCAGACATGCAAAATGGGGGAAAAACTAAAACTATTTATAGAATTTTTCTTCTTTTGAGATTCTGCATGCATTTAATCGTGCTTAACTTGCACACAGACGTTCATTTACAACCTAAAATAAATCCACTGTCGTTTTAAAAGCTGCATTTGTGACTCATTAAAGCACATTTAAAGTGCAACGCTGGGTCTTTATTTCATGCATCTCTACCTGTTGATCACCATCTGCAAAAACAAAAATCAGCAACAAGTAAAGAAAAAAGTAACGTACCTTTTCTGGGCTCATTGTAGGAAGTGAAAAAGGCTTCGCTCGTGTGTAATGAACAGTAAAACACCCCCCTTTTCTTCCTATTAGACTACTTTCTCTCTCCGTTAGTTAGTGGGGGGTTGTTTCATCATGCAGAGCACTAAATCTCACCTCCCCTCCACCTCCTTTTTCACATGGCCTCCTCTCTCGCTGCGTTTCTCCCCTCCCTCTGCTTCTCTTCACTCCTGGGAATAAGGGTCAGACATTCGGTGCCATTCTGTACCTTTCCTCATAACTGAGCCGATTACCAACATGCCTTCGCTCCAGCTAAAGAAAAAAAGTGACCAGAAACCAGCAGCAGCTCCTCCTCGCCCAGTGCAACCAGCTCCCTGCCGTTGGAAACCAGTCAACCTCCCAGTTTCTGAGTCCCCCTGTCACTGGGGCAGAATAACAATGAGCCACAGGACTTCATCTGAATAGCAGCAGGAGGAGAATAATGACTTGGACTTTTTAAGCCGAAGACACGGCAGCACAGGCAGGCCTATCACTGGCCTACATACAGCCGACCCATCACACATTCCTGCTCGACCATTCTCAGAGGAAGAGGAGGAGGAGGAGGAAGAGGAGGCCCTGCATGGACACAGCCTGGCCTTTCATTTACTGCCACAAACTGAGCAACAGATTAAAGGCTGAAGAAAGAAATGAAGATGCTGCAGGGGAGTTCAAAGTGGTGGGAAAAGATCACAAAGTCATTTTCATAATCGACACATCAGACGACTCGTTTTTTTTTTTTTTATAATTGTCGTTTTGTCGCTTTGTTCTTTTTTTAGTCCAACTCACAAAAGTTGTCGTCGTCTTCCTCCGCTTATCCGGGTCCGGGTCGCGGGGGCAGCATCCCAACTAGGGAGCTCCAGACCGTCCTCTCCCCGGCCACCTCCACCAGCTCCTCCGGCAGGACCCCAAGGCGTTCCCGGACCAGATTGGAGATGTAACCTCTCCAACGTGTCCTGGGTCGACCCGGGGGCCTCCTGCTGGCAGGACATGCCCGAAACCCCTCCCTGGGGAGGCGTCCAGGAGGCATCCTGACCAGATGCCCAAACCACCTCAACTGACTCCGTTCCATGTCCCAAAAACCAGTTTCCTTGTCCGGGGATCGGACCGCCAAGGCTCCCGCCTCGGTCTGCCACCCGATCCACACTGCACTGGACCCTTCATGTTCCTCCTGCGGGTGGTGGGTCCACAGTTGGATGAGCCCATGTATCCGGTTCGGGCTGGCTCCAGGGTGGGACCCCGGTAACCCTCCGGGCCGTGTACTCAGACTCTGATTGTAAATCCATGAAAGATCCTCTGAACCGTTCTTTGTCTCACCCTTCACCTAAGACCAATTCGTCATGGGAGACCCTACCAGGGGCACAAAGTGCCCCAGACAACATAGCTCCTAGGATCATTAGGACACTCAAACTCCCCACCACGATAAGGTGACGGTTCAAGGAGTTTCTAAATAAAAACTGAAACATTCAATTAAGAGTGGCTTTTAATCCGTGGGATTGTAAGTTTTTGTAAATTAAATAATGTTTAAAAGTGCATTACGTTCAGCTTCACTGGCTGCCAGTCAACTTCAGGGTTCATTTCAAGGTCCTGGTTCTGGTCTATAGGGCCTTACATGGACAAGCACCATCATACATTGGTGATCTTCTCAGTCCCTACACCCCCAGCAGGTCCCTGAGGTCCAGTGATCAAAGCCTACTGGTTGTGCAGCACCAGGCTAAAGACCAAAGGTGACAGATCATCTGCTGCTGTGGCCCCCAGACTCTGGACCTCTCTCCCCCTGAGCCTGAGATCAGTGGACTCAGTGGTCTCCTTTAAAAAGCAGCTGAAGACTCACTTGTTCAAGCTGGCTTTTGTATGACCTTCTTCACCTCTCTCTCTTTATTCTGCTCTCCCCACCTATTCCACCTTCCTCAGGATCCACTGATTTCCCTCTTTCCTGTTCACGCTCTCTCTTTCTTAACTTTTTTAATCACAATTGCCTATTTTTGCTCATTTTCAATATATTTTTAAACATTTTCTAAATGCTTTTTTATATTTTTACATTTTTCTTTTGTTTTTGTGAAGCGCCTCGTGATTTTTTATCTTGAGAGGCGCTATAAAAATGATATTTTCATCTACGTAAGAAAGACGTAAGGAGGACATCCTGTGGTCAAATGTCGGTACTGCAGCCCTTTTTCCAAACACAAGAGTCGCTTTCTCACTCCCGCTGGATGAGTATCATGACTGATAAAGCTCAACACCACCGATGACGCAAAGATGAGTCAGCACGTTGATGAGTAGATAAATAAATTCCACTGCAATATCCAGTTGTTGCCACCAAATAACGGGCAGAAATGTGCCCGTTTTTGAGTTAAAGCTGCTTTAGCAAATCTACAGAACAAGCTAGGTTTTGTACGCAAGCAAGGTCATGGACCACTCACCCCTCCCCTTGGGTATCTTCCCCGAGGTTCTCCGGGTCGGGTAGCTTTCCTTCTGTCGGAACCAGAAACCTGCGATGCTAAAGGACACAGTCGCTGTTGTTTAGGTCCAAACGTCTTCTGTTGTCCGTGACTTCAAATGGTGTTTTTCTTTTTGGTAGTTTGTCTTCAAGCTGAGGTGGTAGCTAGCTGTTTCTCCTTCGCTGATATTGTATTTGAGCCAAAAATCTCGCCTGTTGCTAAATACGTGAGTGCGTAACGAGAGGAGGACCCGGGGAAGTGAGGAAGTGCGGCGGTTGATTGAGACGGACCACCGGGTGGTCCAATAGCCGCTTCCAGTTCAAAACAAGTTATTAGCAGAAGTTTTTAGACAAATACGAGAGAACCACTTTATTATTTTTTTTTATTTACACAATTTACTGTAAGATACTATCTCCCTGCTGAAAAATGTGCATATGTTGTGTTTTGGATGCTGAACCAGCACCAAAACACAACATATGATGGTCTCTGCTGTTTTTCTCTGCAGGCCTGTAGTATGTTAGAAGGTTAAGAGGCATGAAACAAACTTTTTAAGCTAATTTGCATTCCAAATTTTCCATTGCAGCTTTAAATATCAATATTAGAGTATTCCCACCAGGTTTAAACTTCATATTGTGTCTCAGGTGTCAGTCAGGGTACAGAAGTCATGCAGTGTCACCTTTTCCCCACAGGGTGGCAATGCCGTTGCATCACTTCCTGCCACAAAAACAGGTGTGACTTCAGTTTTTGATCAGCAGAGTGGAGAAGCAGAAAAACAAAAGTTATGAAAACACATTTGTAAAAATATATTTTTAATATTCTCAACAACAAAAAATCAAGGCCTAAAATTCTGTTTTCGGATAAAGTGGTTGCGGTCTCAAGATGACTTGGAATTTAGTTTAAGGTGAGAGAAGACTTGATTGATCCCACAGTGGGGAAATGTGTGTTTGCCTATTTTTGGGATAAAAGCCATTGAATTTCTAAATGATTCAAACTATTTTTCAGCAAATTTATGCTCTCCTCTTAACATTTAGTGTTTGTCAGTAAACAAAGTGCAGATATAAAGTCTCCTCTGGTGTTATTTTGTGGTTGGAGAGCTGGAAAGTCCATCTGACCTACTAAACGGTTCTGGGTCACACTTGAGCGTCTCTGGTTTGTGTCCCTATGGGTCTGAGCCGTAAAGCTGTTTGTGTGTCCACTTCCTGGCCTAATTCTCACACACACACACACACACACACACACACACACACACACACACACACACACACACACACACACACACACACACACACACACACACACACACACACACACACACACACACACACACACACACACACACACACACACACACACACACACACACACACACACACACACACACACACACACACACACACACACACACACACACACACACACACACACACACACACACACACACACACACACACACACACACACACACACACACACACACACACACACACACACACACACACACACACACACACACACACACACACACACACACACACACACACACACACACACACACACACACACACACACACACACACACACACCCCTAAAGGGTGATAAAACATGAGTCATCCTCACCTCCTTCATCCATATTCATGACATCACCAACGAGGACTAATCTAAAAATATTTTATAAAACGCATGTTTAGATGTGTGAACATGTTTATGGATAAACGAGTCACAGAATTAACCCTTTGATGCATAATGGTCACTACAGTGGACAGGTACTCAAAATTGTTATTTATTTATTTTTGCTATTTTGCACAGCTGTTGAAGACTTTATTGCATGTGAGCCCCTCCATTTGGACTTCAGTAAGGCAAGCCAACATATTTCATGTTCAGAATGCACACTGTTCACTGAGCTGGACATGTAATAAATTATTTGTAAATTAACAAAATGTTACAAAAAATATTTGTTGAAATTTGTTTCATTCACACCTAAAGATGAATGAAAAAAATTGTTTAAAAAATCATGGTTGAAGATTTCATAATTCATGCATCAAAGGGTTAAAGGGACAAACATATCTGACCTGTTTTGTTATTTTTAAAAATGATTCAGTCTTATAAATGTGTTTGTGACTACATCATGTGAGCTTTAGCCGTCAGTAGTTGGTGCTTCTTGCCTTTTTCTGACACATTGAGATTCACATTATTAACAGATATTTAGACTTTGTTCTAAATAAATCCATCAGAATTAACTGTTACATCGATAATGGGTTTCTGTCTAACAAAATGAGCCCAAACCATGATGCCGCCACCACTGTGTTCCACAATAAGGACTCATTTCACTGGAAATAAAAAAAATTGAGTTGTTTAAACCAAACAAATTTCTGCTCTAGTCGTGTATTGTGTTATTAAAACACTTCAGAGGTCATATCAACTGTATGTTTTAAATTTTTACCTTCATTTCACTTTGGTTTGAACATGTAAGGAGGATCAGTGTTCCTCAATCCATCCAGAGTATTCGTCCTATTTATCTGATTTCTGAGGAATCGGTGAAAGTTTGTGACATTAAAAGTTGAAATAATTTAGAATTGTCATTTAAAGACACTTAAACACACACACACACACACACACACACACACACACACACACACACACACAACTGCACTAGCTCAGGAGGTAGAGCGGGTTGCCTCATGATCGAGAATTGCAGGTTCCATTCCAGCTCCTGGCAGGCGTGTTCTGCTGCCGAGTCCTTGGCCAAGACACCGGCTTGCCTGTGCTGGTGGTGGTCAGAGGGGCAGATGGTGCAAAATGGTGGCCTTCCCTCCGTCGGACTGCCCCAGGGTGGCTGTGGCTATAGTAGCTTACCATCTTCAGCAGTGTGTGAACGTGAGGGTGAATAATGAATAAAGTGCTTCGGGTGCCCAGAAAAGCACCAAATAAATCCAATCCATTACTATTTTTAATACATCTTAATTTGGATCTAGTTACACGAGACGATGCATCGGGGTGTGAACTAGTTACAAAACATTTTCACTCCATCTCTCAGCGCTTCATCTACTAAAGACTCAGCTGTCGACCGAAAATCTGCACTTTTAAAACGATAGATGGAATATTCACAGTTTTCACAAACGTTTCTCTCTGGCTCCTTCCTGTTTTTAACCATATTGCTGCTGAAAATCCGTCCTTTAATCAACAAGCTCTCTGCTGTTGTTGTGCTATTTGCTGCAACTCCAAAGCGTCCATCTGCTGACCTGCTGCTGGCTGTCAGCCAGGAATTAACCAGGTAATCTGTCTCGTGCTGAGATGTCGGTGAGCTGCTGGACGAGTCCCGGAGGAGTCCCGGTCGACGTTTGCATCCAGGTGGGTGGAATCGCTGAACTAAATCACAGGAATGGTTCGTTTTAGCTGTAAGAATAGTGACGGGGTAAAAACAGGTGATAGGCAGAGGGGAGAGGGTGTGGCCTTTCAAAGAAATCAGCCAATGAGGAGGAGGAGAGAGAAGAGAGGCAGAGGAGGAGGAAGAGGATGAGCCGAGCTCTCCTCTGGAGTAAATCTCTCAATCTGATTAGAGCGTAACGAGGCGGACTACCAATCCTGCAGAGTGGGAACGCCAGAGCTCAGGTAAGAACTCCATTTTTGAAGCAATTTAAGTCAAAAACTATTATTTTGTTATTAGAAACAATTTATTTACAACCATTGAAATACAAGAAACTTAAAGCTAACGACGAATAATAAAGATTCATCTAAATGAGACTAAATGTTCCAGATTTTTAAAGAAACACCCTTATTTTAAAAACTTGATCAGCACAAATAGTCCTTTAATAATTTGGATTATTTGGCTTCATCTGGACTTTAGTTTCCTAAAACTCTTGAGTGTAAACGACCATCTAAATACTACAAAGCACAGAAATGTGTTCATCACATGACCTCCACTGTGAGCAAACTCGAGTAAACGATCAGGAAAATTTACAGATTATTTTATTTTTAGGCAACATTTTCAGATGTTCTGTTTAAGAACGAGTCATTTGGGTTCATTTGAGTAAATTTTTAAATGATATTTTTACGTCTGAGAGAAAAAGACCAAAAAGAAAAAATATTTTCTCCAAAGTTTGAACACAAAATGATTCTTCAGGGATGCTTCCAACACACGTATTTAAACTCTAATGTGCTTTTTTTAAAAATCTGCCTCAAATTAAAATCCTTTAAGAGCGGATGGAAATTCATCATAATGACTTTTAATCACATCATCTTACTGCACCTGTCAGTTTTAAGTTGAGACATAACTGCTCTGCTTAAATCTCCACTGAGACCATGTGGAGGATGCACGACCCCACTGATGGATTACCCCACATACACACACACACACACACACACACACACACACACACACACACACACACACACACACACACACACACACACACACACACACACACACACACACACACACAGAGGATTGTGCATGCCCACGTATCTCTAGCTAAGACACAAACAGAAGCTGGGCTAATTAGGTTAATTGGGAACTGTGGGTGATAAATTTGTGGCTAACCGACAGCAACTGGGTGTGACACGACTTTGCGCCTTGACCATCTGTCTCTCCTCTAAGCCGAGTAAATCACAACAGCTGAGATGGAACACCTCTCATGAAAGGACCTGCTGCTGCTGAACTTGGAGTTGTTTTTCTGCAGCTGACCTCTGCCGTCAGCATCTCTGCCGGTTTTATTTGGAAGCTGATGAAACCGACTCGTGCAACAGACTGGTTTCTTCCACTTTGACGAAACACAATGAATGATGTATGAAGTTCACGCGCTCTGATCAGAGGGGCTGGCCACCGAGAGCAGCAGGTGGTCGGTCAGGTTTAGCTGTGTGTGCCATTTTAAAATGTCGAGCTGAGGGGTCAGTTTCCCTTCATGGAAACACAACCGACTTTTTAAAATGCACTTTAAAGTTTCTGAAGGTTTTTCTAAGTCTGAACTTTCTTATGAGGTGCCATACGTAAAGTCAGACAATTAAAATTTAACAGCAATGCGTTGGGTTTATTAGCCTTTTATAAGTGGAAAAAAATGTGAGCTCAAGTCATTTATAAATAATAAAGATCCCAAATAAATATGAACTTAGAAAGCTAAATATTTAGTGTTTTACAAACTAAATGTATTGATCAAACCTAAATATTTAGTTTCTAAAATGAATTGAGTAACTATTTAATTTAGAGCTAAATATTTAGTTTACAAAATAAAAAATTTGAACCGAGCTTAATGTTTTATTTCGGGATGAAACCTTTAATTGATTTAGCAAACTAAATATTTAGTTTGGTTTGTAAACTAAATATTTGGCTGGGAGCTAAATATTTAGTTTGGTTTGGTTTGTAAACTAAATATTTGGCTGGGAGCTAAAGATTTAGTTTGTAAACTAAATCTTTAGCTGGGATCTAAAGATTTAGTTTACAAACTAAACATAAATATTTATACCCCAAATTAAAGGTGCTATAAACATGTAAACAGTACAGGCACCTTACACTTATTCCCATGAATTTATTGGTTCAGAACTTCAAAAAAGGACAGCTTAGCCTTCAAGAGTTCAGAAGCAACTGACATCAAAAGTTGGCTGATCCAGTCAGGATTTCTCACCTTTAACTTGAACTAATCCTCATCTGGAAGGTTGTCCTGGAACAGGTGCTCTGACGCTAGCTGTGATCAGAGACGTCACTCTGAGGTGTTCAGCTGATTCCTCACACCCTGCCTGAGAAAAGAACAGCTTTATTGTGTCAAAACGTTGGTAGATACGTGATTTCTCTCATCTAATCTGTTTTATTCACAGGTTTTCCTGCATGGGGAGAAAGTAAGTCAAACCAAGGAGCAGAGGAAATTCTCTCGGAGAAAAAGAAGACAACAAAATTCCATAAGTGGATTTTTTTGTGGTTGGAAGAGTTAGGTTTTCTTGCCCGCTGGTGACTTCTTTACAACAACAGATGGATCGGAACATGTCTGGCATCAGTGTCTGAAGTGTTTCTCTATTGGTCTTTCTCTTTGTGGATGGAGATGATGAGGAACTCTACATCTCTGCAGCTTCTCCTTCTCCTCGTTCTGTGTTCTTCTCTTAGAACTGCATCTGCCACTTCTGGGCCTGATAACTATGGAACCCACCCCCGTTTTGTGTGCACCCCCCTTCCTGCAGATGTAGACCCTTCCTGCTTCCCTACAGCAGGTCCAGGAGTCGGGTCAGCAGGGTCTGGTGGTCCAAACCATCAAAACGTTCCCCCTGGCAGCTGGTGGGGGGTCAGTGAAGAGGCCAAAACAACCATCCTCCACCTCAGGGAGAGTCTCATCCAGCAGAAGGAGGTCATCCTGGACCAGAGGGAGACCATCAGAGAGCTGACGGCCAAGCTTGCCCTGTGTGAGGGCTTCGGACGGGGGGCGTCGCTTCACGATGAGCATCACAGCGTGGCCTCGCGCCTTCATCACACGGTTAATCATCACACGCACAACAATAGGCACAATGGAAATGGCAACCTCATACCAGACTCACCGCGTCATCCTTCCTTCATGGGGGGGCAACGATCTGATGGAGCAAAGGAAAAGCACGTGACACCAGGGGATGGAACGTCTCCAGGGGAGCAGATGGAAAGGATGCTGCAGGCGCTGAAGGAGAGACTGGACAACCTGCAGGTGAGCAACGAAGGGGAACTCGATCCGCCTCAGAGAAAACGATGTATATTAAAGTTAGAGCCAGTCAACTGAAGAACAAAGACACGGATTAAAGTCCACCGAGGCTCTTTTGTGGGTCTGGATACATTAATGCTTTTGTCACGAGGCTTTTTGCTGAAGTCCCAGTGAGACATGTCCACAAAGCACACCAGACAAAACAATGAATTACTTAGCCTCACTGCCTTGGCAAGAGACACTCTGAAGTCTCGCAGAGTCCACCTGAACACAACCAGAGGTTCGGAAATGAAGCCAATTCTTCACAAGGTCACAGCGGGTCAAAGGGGCGGATTTATTTGAAGTTTTAATGGGAATTTGGATGCTAACAGGCATGTTTTCACATTTCCTTATGCTCCTCTGGACCATAGCAGCCAGATATCAGGGAGTGTAGATGGAAGGTAGTGGGAGGAGTCTAAGATCAGCAGCAATTACGGAGATCTCCCTGGACAGACTTGTAATCGGGGCAAGCACCGAGACAAAGCCTGAATTATCTGAGTGGAGGAGATGCACAGAGGTAGAAACAGTAAATGTGAGACAGAAGCAGCATCTCAAACGGTGCATGTCAACAACGGCCACTTCTCACTTTTAGTTAGGAATTTGAGTCATCAAGACTTCATCTGTGTTTTCTTTGTCTAAAATCTCCTCGCAGAAGAGAAACACATCCAGCACTTACACCAGCTCACTGAAGGAGCTGCTGCAGGGGAAGATCGGCACCCTGGAGGAGCAGCTGCACCACCACGCCACCTCCAACAGCAGCCCAGACCACCACGATGATGAGTCCACTCACGGGGATGAAGGAGATCATCACGACGATGAGGACAACCACGACAAAGACGACCACGGTGACAGCCATCATGACGTTCGTGGTGATGAACACGAAGACCATCACGATGACGACCATGACAACGACCATCAGGAAGCCGATGATGACCCCGATGATGGCAACAATGACGATGAAGGTGATCACACCAGTAATGAAGCAGACAGTCACAGCTACATCCCACGCACTGGTCACAGAACTGGTTTCCACTTACATAAACTGGAGACGATGATCAACCAGCTGCACCACGCAGGTACTCCCTAACCTCCAGATGTTCCACAGCTGGTTACCGTTAACAAACCAGACAGACTCTGGACTTATAAGGTTGTGCTTTCTTAAACAGGAACCAGCAGAAAGAAATCCACGAACCTTGACGCTTTCCAGATCAGCTTCCCCATGAGGACCAACTACATGTACGGTCGGATGAAGAAGACTCTGATGCAGGAGATCTTCGCTCTAACTTTGTGTCTTTGGATGAAGGCGGGTGTGGGGGGTCCTGGACTGGGTACGCCGTTCTCCTACTCTGCTCCGGGCCAGGCCAATGAACTGGTGCTCATCGAGTGGGGGAACAATCCCATGGAGCTTCTGATTGACGACAAGGTGAAGAGGTTCTCCTCAGCAAGTGATGTCACACTCGGTGACATCGCAATCTAAGACGCTCCCACATAGCCAGCAGAAGCTATTAACATTAGCTATTTTCATGCCAATTGTGATAGCTTAAGTTATGACGTGTCTACCCACAGGCTGCAACGCTGCCCTTGTCTCTGAGTGATGGGAAGTGGCACCATGTGTGTGTGACGTGGACTACGAGGGACGGACAGTGGGAGGCCTACCAGGACGGCGTGCAGAGGGGATCTGGGACGACCCTCTCACCCTGGCACTCCATCAAACCTGGAGGGGTCTTCATCCTGGGACAGGAGCAGGTAATACATTGTTCTAAATCCTACTTGTACTCATAAAAGGTGTGTTTTTACCTTCTTCGTGTCTTCCCCCTCAGGACACTCTGGGAGGCCGTTTTGATGCCACTCAGGCATACATAGGTGAGATGTCCGACCTGCACATGTGGTCCCACGTTCTCAGCTCCAGTGAGATCTACAGTCTGGCGTCCTGCGGGAGCCACCTCCAAGGGGACATCATCGCCTGGTCTGAAACAGAGGTGGAGCTCCACGGAGGGGTTGCGAAGTACCCGTTTGATCCCTGTCACTAAAGGTTTGGAGATTTTCAAAGACTGCTAGAGTTGTAAGAAGTAAAGTCCGTCGACTTTAACCAATCAGAGTGGATACCTTCCTTATATAAAAAGACAAACTTCACGTACATACATCCAGATGAATCTGTTCACAGATCACGTGCAGGGCCTCAGAGGTGTTATTTTAAACAGACAAGTGCTGATTGTGACATATTGTCATATTGTTTATGGGGCTTAAAAGAATGCCTTGGTTTTGTTTTAACGTGTGGGCCCACAAGCACCTCTCAGAAGAAGGCAGTCAGAACGAAGTCAGCTTGGGGAATTGAGGAGAAATTCTCCAGGAGAAACGATGCAAGAATCTGGTCCCAAAAAAAATGCCACTTGGATTAAACAATGAGCTGCTTCTCATTTCTTAAACAACCGTGTCGAAAGAAGACACATCTGGTGGACGTGGAAAGATGTTAGTCTGTCTGAGAAGGGTCAGATGATCGGCATCAAGCAGAGAAAACATCTAAGGAGATGCAGAAACGACTAAAACCGAGTTAAGAACTGGGTTAAAACTGGTCCAAGTCCAGATGGACGCTGTTCCAGAGTGATGGTGGGTAAGAAGAGAGGCAGACGAAGTGATACATGCCTAGTGCCTACTGTACAAACCAGTGGGGGAAGTGTTATGATCTGGGCTTGCTGCAGTTGGTCAGGTCTAGGTTCAGCAACAGGATGTGCTCCAAGAATGAGGTCAGCTGACTACCTGAAGATCCTGAATGACCAGGTTATTCCATCTTCCCTGATGGCACGGCCATATTCCAAGATGACAAAGCCAGGATTCATTTGGTCAGATAGTTAAAGAGTGGTTCAGGGAGCATGAGACATCATTTTCACACATGGATCGAACACCACAGAGTCCAGACCTTAACCCCAATTGCTGTGTTTCCATTACTGGAACTTCAGGGTAAACTCACCAGAACCTCCCGACATGCGTGTGTTTCCAATGGACCGGGCCGACTGAACGGACGTTTTCAGGAACCTTCTGAGTACCTGATCAGAGGTAGGTACTCGGAGTGGCCCGGTGCTGTTGGTGGGCGGTAACATCGCAGATTAGTTGTCACCCAGTCGGAAATAGAAAATGCATACAGGGCAGAGAACTGGCATTCAGAACAACACGTGTTGTTAGCGCGTTTTGCACCAATCGATGGTGTAACTCAACGCAGCGATCACGATGTGGTGAACTTTTAGCAAATTCCTTACAGGGTCAAACTGTAAATGGAGAAACCGGAACTTCGGATGGCCCGGCCAATTTCTCCCTCTTCGCATTTACCCTGAAGTTCTGGTGAAGACACACCTATTGGGAATCTCTGGGACGTGCTGGAGAAGGCGCTGTGCTGCGGTTACTCTACCATCATCAATGCAACACTGGATGGAAATAAATCTGGTGACGTTGCAGAAGCTTATCGAAACGACACCACAGCAAATGTGTCGTAGTCAAAGTTAGAGGAGGTACAACGAAATATTAGTGTAACCTTTTATTTTGATGGAGACTTTTGTTTAGGCCAGGCGGTGCACTTGCCTGCATCAAATTAGTTTTAGAGACATAAAAACTTCTAACTGGAGAATAGCAACAACATGAAAAAGTGTAAAATAGTTAAAAGCATTTGCTCAAGTGAAGTTTTCAAATGGTGGATTTTTGTTGTTACGCCCTTTTTTTCCACAGATTGTTTTGTTTAATTCTGATAATGCTGACTAATGCGATTGGGTCTGTAGTAATGAGACGCGTCAGCTTATGATGCTAGTTTTCACTTAAATTTGTAGTTTTCAGAAACCAGTTTGTTCTTTGGATCCTCTACAGGTTTCCATGAAACATACAGCTACTTAACCAAAGAAAGCGTGGAGCTTATCGTGTTTGTATTTATTCAGTCATTTGAATTTTTCATGTGTTTGATGGATGTTTAAGATCCAGAATTCACCTGCTGGTTTTATTTTATAGTGAGGAAACATTTTTTTTATTTACTAAACAGTCCTTTAAAATTTGGTGTTTTACCTTTTTCTCCTAGCTTGATATAATGTCGATGCCATTTGGCAACAAGCAAACTTGGTTGAATTAGTTTGTAACTTTTGTCATTTTGTGTAAAAAGTTTGTTTTGTGGCTTTTGAATGTCAAGTTGGCCTTGATTGTATATTTTGTTAATGACCAGTATGAAATACTGAAAATTTTAGTAAAGTCCAAAATTTACTGTTTTTCTTTCAAATGTATATAAATGTTAAAACTAAACATTTGTGTTTTTCTTTATCCCTAAATGTCCTGTTTATGCTAGGAAGAACTTTTGATTCATGGTTTTGTGGAAGAAGAAAATAAAATTGAAGAAATTAAAACAAATTAAAGCTAAAATCGAAATAAATAAATAAATAAATGCATGGTTATTTTTTAAACAGACAAATGTGCTGTGCTTAGCCATTACTGTTTGTGCCCCAGATACCCACTCCCGTGTATTTTATATGTGATGTTTATTTGACATGGACGCAGCAATTACACTGGACGAACCAGATGCATCATTTAGTGTGTTAGCACACGTGCTAATTTGCAACACTTGTCCATAGAGCCTTTCTAAAAAGTAGAGTACATTTAAATAAAATACAAAGAGATCAACAATAAATCAAACAGAAAAAAGATTAAAATTGCAAACAATTTTCATTAAAAAAAGAATAAAAAGGATTTAAAAAAAGGCCATTTGAGCAGCAATGTAAGAGTTTAAAACTATTCATGTAGACATTGTTGTTTAGACTTTAACCAGGTTTTGAGTTCTTTGTTAAAAACTTTACTGTCCGTTTCTAGTTTTAGGTCAGCAGGTAGCGAGCTCCAAAGTTTGGCCCCCTTTACAGAAACAGCAGACTGACCAGAAGAAGTCTTGCACCGCGGGACGAGACCATCACCGCCGGTGGAGGCTCGAGTGATCGCTCTATGAGAGCTCTAACGTCTGACGGCCACAGTAGAGAACAGTTTAGACAAGTTATCATGTAGACAATTGAAAAAGAATCTTAGAGTGCTAAAATTAATAAAATTTTCGAAAGTGAGAAGATTAATGTTTCCTTAAAATGCGACAATGATGCCATTTCAATGGTTTCTGGTCCATAGTTTTTATTGCTTGCTTGTATATTAAGACTATAGGTTTTAGAGTGGTGGATGAAGCCTGTGACCATGATGTAATGCAATATGACCGAATTATTATGGTGATGTCACGAAGCTGCCAATATTTTAACAACTGGACGTCATTTAATTCATTTTCAATAACATTTTGATTGATATTTCCAGAGATTAACAGAAAAACTACAGTCTCTACAGAGGTAAACTCTCAGTCAGCACATTTATGAACACCAAAGAGAAAAAGAAGACGTGTGATCTGTTTACCTTTTATTAAGACACAGCAGTTCACTGGTACCAGTGTAGTGTGGTTTTGCTTTAGCTACATGTACAGATGATTTATCCGTCTTCATCTCACAGGAAACAATAAATACAAAATAAGCACATTTTCTGAAAGAGGTGGCTCCGCAGTGAAACTCACCAGAAACAGTTTCAACTGCGATCAGTTCAGTGTTCATTCTTGCTTTTTAACATTATTATTGTTATTATTCATTCTTTTTGGCAACTTTGCACTTCAAAAATCCCCAGAAATGAGCATACAGTCACCGTGGTGCACAGAGATGAAGGTACGATTAGCCTGCTGGTCTGTGCTGTGGCTTTAGAACAAGCTGGATCCGTTACAGGAAGATCTCCTTCAGCTTAATGTCACAAGATCATAAACCGGCGCCGTTTGAGTAAATCCAGTACGTACATGTGGGTGGCAAACATCCATAGAAGGAGCAACTTCTGCAGAATGTGCAGATAAACCGCAGAGGGCGCCGTGGAGAAAGTAACAGTTTCTGTTTCCTTCCATTTTTACAACGCTAAACTTGATAAAGTGCAGTATACATTTGTTTTTCCAACAACCTAAAATGCCATTCATGAAACTAGGAGTTCAAGAACTGGATACCAAGCAAATCTGTCACTGGACTAAAAATCAAACGGGTGATTTCTGATTGTTTTAACCATTTACAGATTTAATTATCCATTAGTGTTCCTCGTTTAGTTTCTTCTCCGAACGTTCAGCCTGTGAACAGCCTACACACACGTGTGTAAGGACCGATCTCTGCTTGTGCTTTAGTGGATTCCATTTCTTCTTCATCAAAACAAAAGCTAAAAGATGCCTCTAGCTCTAGACAAGTGACTTCAAAAGCAACCAGCAGGATCCCTCACTTAAATAAATCAACGTCAACATTTAACGCAGTCTTTCCAAGCCAACAGGGAACACGAACACTTTAAATCAGTGCACTAGCAAGGTCAGCGCCGAGCCGGAGTGGGCGGCTGGCGCCTCGGTTCATCCAACATGCAATAATACAAAAAAATATCAGATTTTAACAAAAAGAATAAATTAAATCATTTCTATGTTTCATAAAAGCAAATATGCTAACATCTATTTACAACAAGTACATTGTGATGAGCTGCCTTTGTTGCTTCATGAAAACTAAAGCTGACTCGGCTGGAGAAAAGGGGTTTTTACTGATGAAGACGTTGGCTTTATGGTGCCGTGTGTGAAGAGAAGGATGTGTGTGAGGTCACATCTGACAGGACAGGGCGACAACTGCTCGGGTAATACGCATTAACAAGTCTTCAGGCTATGACGCCGAGATGGCTCAAACATGTGCAGAAATATGCAGAAGGAAGCATGAAGTGAGCAGATTTCTGTTTTTATCAAACATTTTCCTCACAATGCTGCAGGTTTTAGGTTCGGGTGTTTGTTTTTGAGCCACTAGGAGCACCAGAGGAGCCCATGAGCATATCCCACACTGGAATCATACATGTTTGTACTTTCTCAGAAACATTTGGGATTCACATCCAGTCCTAGGTGAGGTGTAGATCAGAACGATTAGCTCTTATAAAAGACAACCTCGCATGATCCAAACGACTTCACAAAGCTAAAGCGACTTGCCTACTTCAGATAAAACAATATTAAAGCTACAATTGAAAATCTACAGAACAAGCTAGCTTAAAACATTTTTTCATGCCTCTTAACAACGTTCAAACATAATGTAGCAATAAAAATTTGTGGCGTTTTAAAGGTGTGAAACACCCATTTAATCAATACCTCTGCAGTGGCCTCTAGCAGGAATGAATGCCTTGTAAGTCGTACTCTGGGGAAAAAAGCTCAGATGCGCCTGTTTCCGGAACTAGCTGGAAGCCACGTGAGAGGAAAGCTTAACACAGCAGGATCTGGAGTCCTATTTCCCGATTTTTAGACATCTAGTCTCTGATTGGATAATAACACGACTCTACCACAGACTCTGCTCGCTCTGCAACGTTGATGTTTTATCTCCACAAATAACACAAGCCTGGAGGAGTTTTGCTGTGTGGTGAAGTTACTAATGCTAACGGTTAGCTTCTACTAGCTGAGACGTATTCTAATGTTTCCTGGACGCTAAACCAGCAACAGCCTTCCCTGTCGTGAGTCCAGATGGGTGAGTCCAAGTGACAGTGTGACGTAGATCTGTCAGGCTTTTCTATCCTAGAGTTTCACCGTCGGTTTTCTATCAGAAGCTAATGCAGGAGATAGGTGTAGGAGACTATTTTCATGTTCAGCCTGCATGAAACACTCAGTGACCCGTTAGAATCAGAAATAATCATTAAAAAATGGGTACGGTGTTCCACACCTTAAAAAAAGTCTGTTATCTCGAACCGCTGCACTTCCCTGGGTCTTCCACACTCGCGTATTTAGCAACAGAACACCACAGGTGCGAGACGTTCTCTGCTCAATAACATCAGAAGGAGAAACAGTCGGCTGCTACCACTTCAACTTTAGGAGAAACTACCAGAGTCCCAAAAAGAAAATCACCATTTAAAGTCACAGACCACAAAAGACGATTGGAGCTAGAAAACGGCGACTGGTGTTCACCTCCATCTCGTTTACTCTGGAAACACGAGTTCCCGGTATCCGGCGGGCTTGGCCTAGGGACGAGTTCCGTGACAATGTTTGTGTTTAAAAGCTAGTTTGTTTTGCAGATTTACTACTGCAGTCTTTAACTGAGAAACGCCACCGTAAGGCTTCTCCGAGTTATGAGAAAGTGCATCACGAGCCTTGATCAGCAGCTGAGCAACATTCTGCTAGTTTCAGGATTTAAATGCTTTCAATTATAAAAAGAAGTGCACATGCAAATCAAAACTAATCTAAACAGTCACCTGAAATAGCATTTTGAAATCTTTTGTGTTCATCAGAGCCAAAACAACACCAGAGGTGTGTGAAAACCTATCAGCACCAGTGGGAATTAAAGCCATGGTTCCAGAGTGAAGGTGAGAAGACAGGAAAGCTGGATGTGCTCTGATGTAGTGTGTCAAATTACAGATCCTAACCCGGAAACAGCAGCAGGGGAAGTCCACAGAAGGTCTCTGGTCGCAGCTTTTCAAAAGTCTGGTGTTCGGGATGGACAGGAGGCCTCAGAGCAGGAAGAGGAGGCGTTCAGAAGGAGAGGAGAATGGGTTAGCGTTGATGGCAGTTTTCTAAGGCTGCTCCTCTTTCTTCTTCAGCGATATACGTTTCTTCCTGGCAGCGAGCATTTCGTAGAAAGGATCCACGCTCACGGCAGATCTGAAATAGGGAAGGACAAACAAGAAGTTGGGTCCAGAATCCCACCACTGAGGAGCTGCGCTAGCGTCAAACAGAAACTCGATGGCTGATGGGACAAAAACAGCATCTCCGTTTTCCATCTTAAGTTTTTTTTTTAAATTAGCGCCGTGACAAAAAACCTTCAGGTGCTTTAAGACAAGCCCTCCTTACTTGATGCTGTGGATCCACTCGTCCTTCTCCTCCGGCGTGGGCGCAGAGATGCGGTACACCATGTGGTTTCCCTCCACCACCCTCCCATCAGCCTCCGTTTTACACGCCTTGATGAGCTGCCCGCGGTTGTTGGGGATGTACAGCTCAAAGCAGTTCTGTTAGAAAAAGTCAGATAAACAAAAATCTACTCCAAAACTACAAACCCAAAAACTGCACACCTACAGGTTTCCTTGGATCCTCCACTTCACGGATGCTCAGGTTTTCTAGGGGAATGATTCCTCTCGGCTCCTTATCCTGTTAGTGGAAAATCGCCATGTTCAGTCACCCTGACACTGTACTACAGTTACAACTCATCTTGTACAGGAGAACGGCCTCTCTGGACTATTAATCAGTTCATACTGGACACACTTTACATGCATGGTCATTCATGCTTGGCTGATTAATAACAGGAAGAAATAATAGGCAGCAGTAGACTGAACGATCACGTCAGACCAGTATTTAGATCATTTAAGGGAGAACGGTCTTTGTGCTCTCATATGCGGTATTGTTAAAGGGACTTTACGGAGTTTTGAATTTTTATGCTCGCGATTGCCTCCTCAGGCCAAAAGCGTAACGGCAGCTTCAATAGTAGGCTCGTGCACGAGGCACGCATGTTGTACGTGCACACTCCTTAACGAAAATAACGGCTGAGACAGTCCCGTGTGTGCGTGTGTGTGGCCCGGAGGACAGGAGAACGCGCAGCTAATTAATTGAATAATTTGGTTCTGTACCTTTCTCTTCAGCACAGCCGACAAAGGTTTATGACGGGTCAGTCCTCCTGCATGCTCAGATCATTCCCTTCCCTTGCTTGAAAAATTGTTCCAAAATGAAAGTTGAACCCACATCTTTTTTATCTGTGAATTCAACGCCGTTCGGCAAGTCTCAAATAAAAATTTGGGCATCTTACTGTAAATAAATAACATTAATGTAAAAAAGAAATTCTAAATAAACTATGTTCACACCCAGAATCGAAACCGGGTCTTCGGCACAAGAGTCCGATGTCTTACTAGGTGAGCTAAAGCACCAGTGACGTCCTTTGTATCTGTAACTTTTATATCCTTGATGACAGCTGAAACAACGTCAAACCAAAGAACGGTTCGGAGTGAAAATGGCTATTTTGTTGCTAATTTGCAGGAAATATCTAGAAGAAAGTTCTACAGAAAGTAGCTAAGGGTCCTCAGAAATGTAGCTAGCTTTGTCACTAGGCGTTAGGAACAGCGACAAAGTGGCACTGCCTCTCTCTCTGCTGCTAAAGCTACGGTTAGCAAATGCTACGGGCTATGCCTGAGCGTGAACGCGCATGAAGCAGCCTGCTCGACCCGAGCAGCTCTCTTTTTCTGTGATTTTACAGAAAAACAGGCAATCACAGTAAAAATGCCAGGGCTCATTCTACAGGACCAGGGCATTGCAGGAGAATGTATGAAGAAGACATTTATTATTTCTATACATGTTTTGGCTGTCAAACTTCCATAATGCCCCTTTAAATAAATATTTAGGGAAAACAATGTTTTTTTTTCTTTCAGATGGAAAACAAACAAATCAACATTGATGATTGTCATTGGCTGACTTCTAACAATGACCTTTGACTGAATCTCAGCAGAGAAAACGACATTTCACATCAAATTAATCTAAACATCTAAATGATCATTTTACATCTTTACAAACTTCTAGTGTTAACTAATTTTAAAAAATTTGCATCATTTTAAATGAGTTTTGGTAATATTAACACTAATAAAATGAGTCAAATAGCAATAGTCACAGTTTCTATCCTCCTCATGGAAAACCACACACACATTTCTTAATCGACCCCTAATATATATTCTGATATTTTACTAATTTGCACTAACTTCAACTATAATAACATGTTAGCCTTTGTATAATGAAATGTACAAATATTAAAAGAACCATAAACTCAATAAAAATGTTAAATCGGGGGAAAGTCTTAAACTTCTCTTAGAAACCCAACGTCGCCCCCTAGTGGTATAAAATAGAATGTTTATGGGCTGCTGTTCTTTGTTTATGCAAAACAAGATTATTTATTTCTACAAAACCTAAAGTTTCAGGACAGCCGATTCTCCTTGATTACAACTGAAACTAGCCTAGAAATCTAAACAAACCATAGCAGCAGCAGCAACAGATTCTGTTCTACGGGTCAGTCTAGCTCAGGGGTAGGGAACCCTGGTCCTGGAGAGCCACTATCCAGCACGTTTTAGAGGTCGCCCTGCTTCAACAAAGTTGAATCGCCTGTGCAGCAGCTCATCAGGCTCTGCAGAAGCCTGTTAATCACCTGCTGATTAAAATCAGGTGTGGTGAAACAGAGTTAGAACTAAAACACGCTGGATATCAGACCTCAAGGCCCGGAATTGGATATCCCTGGTCTAGCCACACCTCACTGTAGCCTCAGCAGGTCGGTCTACCATTGGCCCAAACTGTTTTGTGTCTAGCCAATCACAGCACTCCAGGTTGGTAGAGACGTTGGGTGGACCTAGCACCAGAACAGCGACAGCTCAGCAATGCTCTAATCCCGCAGGGTAACTGCAGGTTTAAGGGAGCCAAATTTAAGACTTTTTAAGACCTTTTTTAAGGCCATTTTGACCAATTTTAAGCAATTTTTTTAAATTAAATTTAAGCTATAATTTCCAGCTATTGCCTGGAACCAGTGCTAACCATGTCGCCAACGTGGGATTAGCCATCCAGTTACCATTAAACTTTCACTTCCCCATGGTGCAAGCTCCCACTAGCTTAACCAGCTAATGTGCTCATGTAAAAATAGCCCCCTTTCACAACCAACTGAATGTGTACGGTTCTGCATTCGCCAACATTATACACAAAAATTGCTGAACACTAACTAGAAATTTATAAAAATTTTATGGAAAGAAAATAATCTTGTTTATTGGGTCTTTGGACATTTAAGACCGTTGGAAACTGTATTTAAGGATTGTTTGTCATTTTTAAGGATTTTTAAGGCCTTAAATTTGGAAAAGCAAATTTAAGACTTTTTAAGACTTTTTAAGGACCCGCGGATACCCTGTGGATGATTTAGACTTGGGCTTTTCTTGGGAATCATGAGCAGACAGAGGTGTGTGTCAGACTGCCCCGTTGACTGATGTACATAGCAAATAACACGTCACATTATTTGTTGCTGATTGGTCCTGGCGCTATCCGATTACGTGCGCAGACTGTTAGAAAGACAACCTTCGATTCTGCCCCACGACCGGGTTGTTTCAATGGGTCGGACTACATATTTACATATATAGGATGGCTTGCCAGGCTAATCTGAAACAACTACTCAGTTTAAATTCTAAACATAATAAAATACTTCTTATGGTTGTTGCATTAAATACTTACTGTGGTGTATTCAAAGTAATAAAGGCAATTATCGGTAAGAATGAACCATCGACGTTTCCAGGTTTTCACTCGTCCTCCTGGGAAAAAGTCACAACAGGACAATAAGAGATGGAAGTTAAAAGAAAAAAAAAGGATTTGAACTTTTACTCTACCAAGCTACAAATTCTGTATTCTAACTACGACCTACTAATACTTCTACAACTTTTTGGACGCTCTTCAGTACATACCTCCTGAGAAAACAAGCAGCGGCAGTAGAGGGTGGAAATTTCAGGGAAGAAGCAGAGACAAAAAGAAACCGGAGGATTTAGAAGGGAGGTAGAAGAGGGGACGGAGATCGTATTAGTGACACGTTGATCACAGGTCGCCGTCATGCAAAAAGAAAACAAACAGATGTCCAAACTGCCACGGCGCACAGGAGTGAGCGCGTCTTTCACCAACACACCATGGAGATGTTTAAACACTGCCACGGTGTGAGGCGATGATTCAGGTGGAGACAAAGAGGCGACGAGCCTCAGAGACAGGAGGACAAGGTCATCACAACACAGAGAGGTGAAAGTACAGAATGTAACACTTTGTCCTGATACCGGCATCACACACCGAGCTCCTCAGCTACAGATTACACGAGATCAGGGTCAAAATACCGAGTTTGAGAAGCCAGCCCTCCCTGTCTGGGTTGAAGAACGTGTGCGTCAGGTCGTTCCCGTCGTCCTCTGGGATCTTAAAGGGCTCGTTTTTAATGCTTTCATACAGATTCTGGAAAACCAAACAAGACAAACAAATAAATAAACAAGCTCATAAATATTCTAACGGGGCATCCAGTGACTCGTACTCTGAGCAGCTCCTCGGGCAGGTCCCCCCCCTCATTGATGCCTCGGTTCATTGAGATGAAACGGTCCAGTCCAGGTTTGTCCCTCACATTTGGGTTATGGAGGCTTGTGTTCAACATTATTATAGCAAACGAAAGCACATAACACGTGTCTGCAAACAGGAGAGGAAAGAGAAGAACTAAGAGAGTCAACAGAAACACACTTTACAGCAGAGCATGGGTTATGTTTGCATATTTTCTGCTCTAAGTGGATGTTTGGAACTGGCTGAACAATTTCTCTTCCATCATCCCAGCCTGCAGTACAGATATGTGGACTTATGTTGCAACGTGTTAATCCTGCTGAGCTTATTGTGCCTGAAGCAAAGGGAAACCTGACTACATGTAAAACATTACAGAACAATTGACGGAAACAATGAAAAACAACACTAACTGCCTTTAATGAAAGGTGTGTATAAATGTTAAGAGGGAATGCTTTCTGGTCAGGGGCAGATTATGTGAGGGCCGACCTTTGGCAAAAATACCTTTAGTCACTTTGGCTTCGCTTGAACAAACACAGAACTCATAAAAAATAAATAAAAAAGGAGCACCGTAAGGCAGAAATGTGGTGTAAAAGGGCCAGCTCAAAACAAAACACATCTAAAGGTGCAAAAAATATTTTAAAATAAGATTCTTGCTGGTTAAAAATGGCATTACTACTAGCCCTACGAGAAAAACGGTTTGTTTTGTGATTACCGGTGCTCTGGAAGACGCCGGGGTTGCAGTGACAATATCTCTGAGCAAAGGCCTCCATCATTCTGTCGATTTTCTGTGCTTCACCAGGCAAACGGAAGCTCCACAGGAACTGTCTGTAGAAAACAGGACAGGGTTCGGGTCAAGCCTAAGAGATCAAATTCAGCCACTAAGGCAGAGTTACATAGTCAGTTTTGACTTGTTGCATAATGTTGTTCCAACCCAATCTGAGAGAAGGGGGGGGGGGTTCCATTGTTGGGCATGTTTGTCCACTAGAGAATCCCCGATTACATGTTAATAGCTTCATATAATGCAGAACCAACAGAAGTGGATGCAGTTCACCTGAGAGCCTGGACGAGGTTGAGATCTGTGAACTCGTGGAGGTCGACAAAAGCTTGAAGCACTTTGATGTTGAAGTCATCTCTGCAGCAAAACAGACCACAGTTACAAACGGCTGCATGAAAGAGACGACAGGAACAAAAGACACTTCAACACCTCCCACCTCTCTCCCAGGTAGTCTCCTATGGCAGTCTTGTTGAGGCCTTCTCCTTTGTACAAGAACTGAGCGATGTCTTCTGGTGTGTGTCTGAGCAGCTCATTCTCTACCAAAAACGTAATACCCTGCAGAAATAGTCCATAAATGAAAAGAGCAATCCCAGAAAAATATCAAAATCAGCAAATCTAAAGGACAGTGTTACCTTTTTAGGGTCCATGTTGAATTTCTTCCTTCCCATCGCTACGTGCCGACTTTTTTGAAGAGTTTTACTGCAGAAACAACACAAGTTAACTCAATTAAACCGCATACTTCTTTTAAGACACCAACAAGTTATTGGAAACAAAAACACAATAAATACTAATAGAAAGAAACATGAAAAACTAACACACAAGTTTAAAAATCAGTGCATCTTGTGTTGATTTAGGTCAAAAGCTGCAATGCTATTTCTTTGATTTATAGTAAATAAGAATTTCTTTACCTGCCCTCTGTGCTGCTCTCTAGTCCCTCCACTTCTAAAATAGCCTCCCTCAACTCCTCCCTGAGCCTCTGGATCTCCTGCAGCAGGACGCCCTTCCTCCTACGAATGTCCTCCAGCTCAGAGCGCTCCTCTGGGCTCAGGTCTACTGGGACTGCAGGGGAAGACAAGAGAATGACAGCATTGGTGCTGCAGAACCAACAAAACGTTAGCTGTGCCCAAAGAATCTAGGTCAAAAGCAATCTCCACTAGTGGGAGAAAATGTTTGTTTTATTAAAACCAATTAAAATACTAAAATTATGAATTGCACATGAAAAGCCTGAAAGAACTCAGCATTTCCTTGCTAGCTGCGTGGTTTTCATTTGAAGTAAAGCTGGTGCAAGTTGGTAAATTTCCCAATAATTTTATATTTAAAAGCACCAACACCTTACAATGTGTATTTTGTCATTAAACAACTAGAATTATTTTTGTCCTGCTGAAGGTGGGTGTGATTTAATGACACAGCCTGATGTCCATTGAAGACATTTGGAAGTGCAATTCAATGAAATTCAACAGCACCACCACCTGCAGCTTTCAACTGGACCAACAATATTACAGCAGAAACCAACAGCAACTCTCTCAACTAAACATTGTAGTGATGCTAGAAACGGGTAGTTAATTTTCTGTTAACATTTCGCCTTTAAACTAATCAATTCAAACCACGTAGAAAATGTAAGCTCTTGGTGGATTTTTTAAAAATCCCCAAACCATTGTAACCCCCCAAAACAATAAAATGCCACACCCAAAGCATACATTTTTGTACATACCTAAATGTTAATTACTTACGAGACTTTAGAGGGTTGTTTATGTTATAATTCATCGCTTATAAGACCTTTATATGCAGTTTGATGCGTAAATCATGTCCACCGAGGTTAGCTGTAAAGTTAGCCAAGAACAAACACCGACAGAATCAATAGTTAATTAGCAAAAACAATATGCAGTTGCGGCTTATTTCTACATACATGCTAAATACGTACACACGTTTTTATAGAGAACAAAAAGACGACTGGTATGATCACCGGGAGAAGTTAGTCTAACGGAGCAAATATAAAGTCAACCAAAAGCGACACAGCTAGCCAGTTAGCTACGGCGGCGTTCCGAAAAGACCGACTCAGTAAGCCCACTTACTGTAGTCCAGGTCATCCATTTTTGGCGCTTTATTTTTAGGCATAAATAGTTCAGAGTCGACTGTCATTAAATGTCAGAAAATTGGGGATATATTAGGAAATATATCCACAGAACTAAAAGGAAAAAATTGACATCCCCTGGTGTTGAAATCCTGGGCCGTAGACAAAGAAGGTGGCGACACCGGAAGCGGTGTCGATCGACTTCCGGTCAGTCAACTTTCAAAATAAAACAACAAAATTCACTTTAGCATAATGCACAATATACAAAAAATACAAAGTTGAATGTTTAAGACTTAACCATTTATTACTATCCCTCATTAATTATAAATTACAATTTTGTATAAAATATACTCCAGTTTCCGTGTGGGTCCAGTGATTTTTCTGTTAACATGAGAAATCTAAAAGAAAGGAGATTAGGCAGGGGGGTTTCCTATTATTCTGGTTTAACTTCATTTTAAACTCTGATTTGGTTTCACTAAAACACTCATCACTGAAGTTTGTTCTTTGCATTTTGCTCCAGACTAGGCTAATAGCAATAGTTGAGTTGATTGCTGATATGGTGCCAGCTTGATCTCAAATTATATTTCAGATTGTACAGGTGCTGGCCAGTAAATTAGAATATCATCAAAAGGTTGAAAATATTTCAGTAATTCCATTCAAAACGTGAAGCTTGTACATTATATTCATGCAATGCACACAGACCAATGTATTTCCAATGTTCATTACATTTAAATTTGATATTCATAAGTGACAACTAATGAAAACTCCAAATTTGGTATCTCAAAAAATTAGAATATTCTGAAAAGGCTGAATATAGAAGACACCTGCTGCCACTCTAATCAGCTGATTTACTCAAAACACCTGCAAAGGCCTTTAAAAGGTCCCTCAGTCTTGTTTTGAAGGCACCACAATCATGGGGAAGACTTCTGACTTAACAGCTGTCCAAAAGACAATCATTGACACCTTGCACAAGGAGGGCAATACACAAAAGGTGATTGCTAAAGAAGCTGGCTGTTCGCAGAGCTCTGTGTCCAAGCACATTAACAGACAGGCGAAGGGACGGAAAAAATGTGGTAGAAAAAAGTGTACAAGCTCTAGGGATAACCGCACCCTGCAGAGAATTGTGACGACAAACCCATTCAAAAATGTGGGGGAGATCCACAAAGAGTGGACTGCAGCTGGAGTCAGCGCTTCAAGAACCACCACGAGGAGACTCATGAAAGACATGGGATTCAGGTGTCGCATTCCGTGTGTCAAGCCACTCTTGAACAAGAAACAGCGCAAGAAGCGTCTCGCCTGGGCCAAGGACAAAAAGGACTGGACTGATGCTGAGTGGTCCAAAGTTATGTTTTCTGATGAAAGCAAGTTCTGCATTTCCTTTGGAAATCAAGGACCCAGAGTCTGGAGGAAGAGCGGAGAAGCACAGAATCCACGTTGCATGAGGTCCAGTGTAAAGTTTCCACCGTCAGTGATGGTGTGGGGTGCCATGTCATCTGCCGGTGTTGGCCCACTCTGTTTCCTGAGGTCCAGGGTCAATGCAGCCGTCTACCAGGAAGTTTTAGAGCACTTCATGCTTCCTGCTGCTGACCAACTTTATGGGGATGCAGACTTCACCTTTCAACAGGACTTGGCACCTGCACACAGTGCCAAAACCACCAGCACCTGGTTCAAGGACCATGGTATCCCTGTCCTTGATTGGCCAGCAAACTCGCCTGACCTTAACCCCATAGAAAATCTATGGGGTATTGTGAAGCGGAGGATGCAATACGCTAGACCCAACAATGCAGAGGAGCTGAAGACGACTATCAGAGCAACCTGGGCTCTCATAACACCTGAGCAGTGCCACAGACTGATCGAGTCCATGCCACGCCGCATTACTGCAGTTATTGAGGCAAAAGGAGCCCCGACTAAGTATTGAGTGCTATACATGCACATTCTTTTCATGTTCATTCTTTTCAGTTGGCCAACATTAGAGAAACAAACATTTTTTCATTGGCCTTTAGAATATTCTAATTTTCTGAGATACCAGATTTGATGTTTTCATTGGTTGTCACCTATAAATATCAAAATTAAACGTAATAAACATCGGAAATACATTGGTCTGTGTGCATTGCATGAATATAATGTACAAGTTTCACGTTTTGAATGGAATTACTGAAATATTTTCAACCTTTTGATGATATTCTAATTTACTGGCCAGCACCTGTATATAAAGCCCATTATTACCCAATATGACAATTTGCTTTGTATCAGTAACACCCATTTGGCCTACAAAATGAAAATTAATCTTGCAATTTGGCTAATCACCTTTTGGTATGAAGAGTCTAATTCATAGTATAGAAACTCTTTAGTACATTTGATTGTATCAGAGGAGCAACCTAATGCAAGTTCAGTCCAGACTGTTGTATCCAACTTTTTAGTTGCTTTTACAACCCAAACCAAAATCACCAATGAAGTGAAGAACTGAGGGTTTATTTTAAGTTTGTCTTAAAGGTGCATTATGTAGAAATGAAGTAAAAAGTATATCCTGTGGTAAAATGTGGTTACTGCAACCACTTTAAACAACTGGAGCTTTTTGCTGACCGTCATCAAATTATAATAGTTGGCACTGCAATATTAACTCACAGGAGACATGGCGACCCCACACTCACTGATGGTAAACAGCAGTTACGTCACTCCTTCCTTTGTTTTGAAAGGAGAAAAACTGACAATCCAACAGCCAGCTGGATGTGAAATATGTTTCAGTAAAACTTTCCTTGCAAAATGACAACACACTTTTGGTATTTTCTCACTGTATCCCTACATACTGCACTTTTAACACAATCCAAGCCAGGCATTTGATTTGTCAGTTTGGTAAAATATCCATGTCCAAACTAGGGCTGACCTGATCAGGTTCTTTTGCTCTCGAGACTGAGTCATTTAATTTTGAGCATCAACCGATACCAAGTCCTGATCCAAAACTTCTATCATACATTTAAAAAATAATGAAAACGAGCAAAGAAACAGATCCAGGATGTTCCTCTAGTAACAAACAGAGCACTTCTTGAACAATCAAGTAATAAATACCAAAATTCTTCACTTTTGGACTTCAGTTTAATGTTGTCATCAACTTTTTACCTCCCAAGACTGCATACATCCAGCTTCACTGGCTGCCAGTCAACTTCAGGGTTCATTTCAAGATCCTGGTTCTGGTCTATAGGGCCTTACATGGACAAGCACCATCTTACATTGGTGATCTTCTTAGTCCCTACACCCCCAGCAGGTCCCTCAGGTCCAGTGATCAAAGCCTACTGGTTGTGCAGCACCAGGCTAAAGGTCAAAGGTGACAGATCATTTGCTGCTGTGGCCCCCAGACTCTGGACCTCTCTCCCCCTGAGCCTGAGATCAGTGGACTCAGTGGTCTCCTTTAAAAAGCAGCTGAAGACTCACTTGTTCAAGCTGGCTTTTGTATGACCTTCTTCATCACTCTCTCTTTATTCTGCTCTCCCCACCTATTCCACCTTCCTCAGGACCCACCGATTTCCCTCTTTCCTGTTTACTCTCTCTCTTTCTTAACTTTTTTAATCACAATTGCCTATTTTTGCTCATTTTAATATATTTTTAAACATTTTCTAAATGCTTTTTTATATTTTTACATGTTTTGTTTTTGTGAAGCGCCTCGTGATTTTGATCGAGAGGCGCTATAGAAATGATATTTTCTTCTTCTTCTACATACTTGCGCTTTTCTACTTCCATGTTCCACTTTGCCAGCGTTTAACCAACAAAGAGATGTCATGCCGCACAGGTTGCTGTTTCAGTGTGGAGTCAAGAGGTCTAAGTCTGTGTTAAATTGTTAAAAAAATAAATAAATTATATGTATCCCGAGTCTGGATCGGGAGGTACTGTCCAGTTCTGACCGATCAGGACCAATTTCCAATCACGCGATCAGATCTGGACATCCCTAGTAAAAGCACAGTTAGTACACGTTTCAGATGGAGTGAATATTTCATCTTAGATAAATAAGATTGAGGTAAGAGACCCTTAAAGTAAAATCTAAAGCAAAAATACTCTAATCTTTTTCAGAGACACGTTAGAAAGACAAATGATTTTACACAAGACAAATGTATGAAGTTACATTTATTTGCAAACAGATAACTATAATTGGTACACTGCATTTGTATACATTTAATTGATTTAGTAATAATTACCATTTGATTACAGGTAGTTTACTACAGACAAATTCATAGCATTTTCAACTGGACACCTTCATAGCAAATTGGTCTACAACACCATGGTCCCGGCTCTGGCCACTGACGACGCTGGTCTAGGAAAGTAAACGGTCATGACTAGGCTCTTCAACACCAAGAGTAAACATTTTGGCAACAACTTTTCGCCCAAAGTGTATGTATCATTTTCTGTTTTAGTAATATTACAAGCTTAGCCTCAAAGTGTACTAGCATTGGTAGCTGTGTAAGCTCAAAGCAGCGTTGGTAGATTAGTTGTATTGTGCACTCAAAAAGGGAAACAAGGCAGAAACAAATCTTTTTTTTAACTCCATTCGTTGCGGTCGGGTTTAAACAGTTCATCATTAGCAGCCGGAATTTACAGGCTTATTACACAAAGGCATCGATTTGACAAATACGGTATGCTGATGGTGATCCAAGCAGTTGGCAGGTGATTTTACCGATTCCTACATTACACATGCTAATGATTTAGCGGAGGTTGAGTGTTTCAGCAGGTTTGACGATAACAAAATTAATGTTTAAACAGTACGTCACCCTCCAAAATATCACATCTGATTGAATGCTACTTTTGAAAGTATCACTGTTCTCAACAGGCTTCAGTGTGAGTTCAGCGGGCTGGCTTTGCAGCTGATTAATCACAGTGCAAGTTGTTCGTTTTTCTTCCATCTTAGTTAAAGCCGATCTAAGAAAACAGAGCTGCTTTATTTTAGTCTTGTCGTTTTTAAAAATGTATTATGTCTGTCTGTAAACTCTAACTTTCTACATTTGTGTTCAAATTACAGCAATAAATAAAAGCAATAATTTATTTCTTCACTAAAACAATGCTAGTGCATCCAGTTTATCAATCAAACCCTCTCTTAATAACATTCCTCTGATTTTAGTACTTATCTATTAGTATGCATCTTTCTGTGATGCTTTAATGTCAGTTTTTGTGCACCACCTTCTACACAATTGGGGCTTATTAATGTTTGGACGTGACGCCGAAAGGCTAAAAGGCAGCTAATCACATCTGATTTACTCTCTTTCATTCAAACAAAAGTAGCAGAGAGAAAGCAGCTCGCTTTGTTCGGGCATTATTTTATGGTCAATAAGATGCAAAGACCAGCATCACCGACATCTTCAGCAGCGTGCATCCACTGGCTAAACAAGCAGGCAGAATGCAAATATGTCAGTAATGGCTAACATTCGATCGTGAATGGTTTGTTTTTGCTTCTCCACGCTGATTCAGTTGCATCAAAATACTTCCTCCACCTGGTAAACAGGTGCAGGAAAATAACAGCTGGAGCTCAGAAAAAGTGTAAAACTACAGAAACAGTTCTGCTTTCATGTATCTGGTGTGATCTAGTATTAGGACGGAGCTCAAGAACGATTTAGTTTCCTTACATAACAAAGAACGGGCAAAGGTACTGCTGTACTGTACGATGTCAGGTAAGGCATTCCTTTGAGGGACTGGAGGTTTCTTCTGAAGCAGGAGAAGGGAGGAGGCAGGGCTTCAGGTAAGAGATGGAGGACGACTCGTGTTTAAGAACATCTTTCTTAGATTTTAATCTGATTTCTTGTCTTAATGTAAGGCAAAAAAAATCAGCGCTTGTTTGCATGCATACTACACACACACACATGCACTATCTGCACAACTAAAGCCGAATCATTCGACTGCTCTTCCCTCTCATCATCCAAGGCTGTGCATTTGTCATGCTTCTCGAGGTACGCCGGGCGTGCTCCAACATCTGTGCAACCAGGTGCATTTTTCTTCCATTTTCAGGTTTCCTAAAATCACTGCGGCCGCTCGCTAACGCTGCGTGGCTCGGTACGTTATCCCTTCTTTAAAATTCCCCACAAAAAAAACAGGTTCCTGTAATTAAGGCTAATTTAAGTGCCTTCGACATTCCCGCCTCTCTCATAGAGTACAGTTGGCAACATAGATAAAATAATTCAGTAGAGTTCTGATATGTCAGTCAAGTCAACCAATCCCTGATTAAAGTCTGGTCACCTTTACTCCAGAGTCTCCAACGATGAGGCGAGCCATGGAAGGATGAACCTGTGAAACAAGCAGGAATCAAGTCAGAGTGACAAATTACAACTCTGATTCTTAGGTAAACAGCAAAGCCTGGATTATAGCACACCTGCGCTTGGAGCGGCCCATATGGCACAAGTTCGCCATCCACGGTGAGCGTTCCCCGTGTAGAAAGAGGCTGCAACCTGAAGGCCTTGCAGGTGACGTGGCTCACGTACGGCGAGCTGACGGAGTGGTGGGTTCCTCTCTCCATGGCGAAGAACAGTCTGAGCAGCGTGGCTCTGGAGATGCCCGCCCGCACAAAGGTCAGGTGGATCAGGCCATCGTCAAACCTAGCCTGGGGTGCGGCATGGAGGTCAGCCCCAAGGTGAGACTGGTAAAGGGCCAAGACCAGGACGAAGTCCCCTTCGATGGTGACCCAGTCTCTAGTGGGAATGGGTTGATCCAGAGGGGGTAACAAGTCATCCCCGAGTTGATCAAAAGGCAGCGAGACGAATGGACGGTTCTTGAAAGGTCCAGCTGGTTCCGCAATGTCAAAGTTAAAAGATGAGGACGGTGTGCGTAAAGCGGGGGAGGTAAGGTTGGAGTTTGGGGTGTTGGGGCGGGGGGCGAGGTAGGATGACGAGTGCGGGGAGGCACAAGAAGGGGAAGAGGGTGGCGTGGGAGACAAAGAGAGGGAGGGGAGTTTAGGGGGGAGGGAGTTGGAGTTGGAGTGCTGGAGGAGGGAAAGGGGCCTCGGACGAGAGGCGTTCTGGTTTAGGTCCAGGCCCTTCTGCTTGTAAGAGAAGGGAGAATGACGAAAGGGGGAGGAGATGGTGAGAGACCGCTCACGGGCCACATCCAGAGGGAAGTAGGTTTCATTCAGATCCGTGTCCTCCACCCCGTACGAGGAGCTGGAGTTGGAGTCTGCCTCCTGACTGAGCGGCGGACTCAGAAGGGCGTCGGCTATCTGACTTGAAGGAGCAGAGTTTTTTCTCACCACCTGTCGGGTTTCCGGAAGGCGGTCCTGGTAACCTCCCCGCTCTTCGTCTGCCTCCTGCCCCATGTCTACTCCATCTCTCTCCCCCAGCTCCTTTGCATCCAACACCCCGTCCCCCTCTACAGAATCCCTACTGCCCTCCCCGTCCCTCCCCCTATCATCCTCATCCATCTCACAAGAGTCTTGCTCAGTTGTTTCCTCGTCCTCCCTTTCATCCTGGATCCCCTCCAATCTCTCCTCCCTTCCCATGTTGCACACATCCCTCTCGTTTGACTCAGAACATGTCCCCGACTTGTCCTCTTCTGCCTCCATCTCCCTCTCTCGGTCTTCTGCCAGGCTGCTGGCCCTCACCACGCCGGTTCCTCCTCCCCTGGCCCTCTCTCTTCTTCTCTCCCTCTCTCTCTGTCTCTCGTCCCTCTCCCTCTGTCTCTCCTCCCTTTCCCTCTCCCCGTCGCCCTTCCGCAGGCTCCTCTGCTCGTTAATGCCCATGTCAGAGCAGGTGCGATGAATCGGCATTTTGCAGAAGCCCTCTAGGCCTTCGGTGATGCTGCGGGAAAGGGGTCTCTTTGGTGGGGGGGGCGTGCCATTCGACGATTTAGTGACATCCGACGGAGGCAGAAAGGACAGGCGGCCCTTGTAGGATCGAAGTGACGCTATTCGCACTAAAGTGCCCAAGGTGAAGCGAGCTGATCCCAGACCACGGTACCTGAAACAGAATCCATGTTGTGTAACGTGAACAAGTAATCCAGCTGATGAGGTGTGGATGGTTGTGAAACACACACCTCTCACTCTCTATGTCTACGTCAGACACAAAGCCCCAGGCCACTGACAGAAAGGAAAACAGCCTCCTGGGTGCTGCAGCGTGGCTGCTGTTGTTGGCCAGAGCAGGGCTTGTTGTCACAGAAACCAGGTCCATGGGCCGGACGCCGCCTCGGCACAGCAGAAAGCAGCAGTTTAAAAGGAGGGGCTCTCGAAGGCACATGTCATACCTGAGAAAGAACAAAAATGCTGCCAATACAAGACGACCGTAGCGTTATGGTCGGCGAGCTGGCCATGACCGCCCATTCTCTGATTGGCTGATCTAAAGCCTGGTTTATGCTTCTCCGTCAACTCCGCAAGGGACAGACACGCACGGATTGACGGAAGCGTTTTGCTCTCATGCTTCTCCGTCTCCTGGAGAGTGTTGCAAAGCAATTGCCCGGCAGGACAGCAGAGGGCGTAGCGCTGCTCTGTGGTATCCTGTCATGTATCGGTCCAAGATCGTGTGTTTATATTGTGTTTTTTGTATATAAGAGACTTTTAACACGGACATATTTGTCTCTCATTCTCCCACCTCTTCATGCGCTCGCCACCTCTAAACCCACGTTTCCTGTCATTTCCGTCCACAAATAAAACGCTTGCTGCGCATCTTTTCACTCCTCCAGTCACGAGAGGATGAAACGTTCATATTTTTAGTTTTATCGCGAGGTTTTCTTGAAGCTGCTCAGTGTCTGCCGCTAGTTATCCTCGGCTCTCTTTGCAATGGCGGCGCTGTAAACAACAGCGGCGTCCTGACCAATCTCAAGCTTGCGTAATCCGTCTCGTTCGACGGATGTTTAAAAAAGTGGGCTCGACTCCGTACGTACTTGCGTGCCTGCCGGAGCCCTACGCAAGGACGGATAATGGCGTTGCGTGTCTCCGCACCGACGCAGACGGAGAAGCATAAATCAGGCTTTAGCCAAGAAGCTCTGATTTCTGAGAAGAGCTTGGAGTTGAGCTCCTGCTCCTCCAGCAGCAGCACTCTCTTGCACGTGAGAAATGGGTTCATGCTCAAGTCCCTGTTTGTGACATCACAAATGTGCACATTTTCAAACAGCTTGTTTTAGGCAAATCAATGTGTTTTTCATGTTTAGAGTGATTACAGAGGCAGACACACCTACGTGCCAGCACAAAGGATGCAAAAGGCGATTTTTGCAAAGTATCTCACTAGCGAGGCAGCAGGTAACGCTCAGAGCAGAAGAGTTTCAGCCACCTGTACACCAGCAGCTAGGCGCCTCAATTAACCAGCATTAAACAGTTAATGATGCTTCACTCGTCATTCGCTCAGCAGGTTACATTCAGACTAGAGTCGTGCTCACCCTGCGTAGTGGTTGATGGAGCCAGCCAGTGCATTTCCAGAGCCGCAGGGCAAAATGCCGACAGGTGTCTTTATTGCTTGTTCCCAGTCTGGGCGCTCCATCAGCCCATTGATTACCTAAAGAACCACATAAATCTCTTAGAAGCTCTCATCACTGGACCAAATCAAACCTCATCATACCCCAAAACGTCACAGCGCATCACCTCATGCAGCAACCCATCTCCAGAGACGATGATGATGCCGTCCCACTCCAGGAGAGGGATGTCTCTGATGAGCTCCCTGGCGTGATTCTGGCGTTCTAAAACCAGGTGAATGAAGTTAAAGTCTGATGCATTCACACCATCACAAGGCTGTCGGGGCAAGCCGTCACCTGTCTGTATGAGGTTGTAGCTGATGTTGGCCTCTCTAATCATGGGCAGGATGTGGGTCTGACACCACTGCATTGCTTGGCCCCTCCCACTGAACGGATTGACCAATAACAGTAGTCGCCTGGAACGAGGTAGGAGACTTCTTGAAAATTCTGCAAGACAAAGACACCGCAGCACCAGTGAGAGCTTATTCATAAAAACGCCGTCAGTTCAACTCCAGAGGAGGCCGACTGGGACATGAGCTAAGCTATCATCGTTAAGCTTTATTAGCGGTTACCCAACTCCGGACTTTGAGTTCATTTGATTAATTCGGCCTTTTTCAGCTCAGAGAATTATATGTTTACTTAGGTTTCTGCTGAGTCGCCTCTTTTCCAACATAGTTTCTCTTCTACCAAAGAACTGCTTAAACCAACCCTTGTTTTTCATGTTAGGACCAACAATAATTAACAACTAAATAATCAATGTAGTCAAATAAACAGTCCGTGCACCGAAATGCACACTCCAGCAGCTCTTTCCTTTCTGTGGAAATATTTGACACTCTCAATGGTAATGACCGTGTGTGTGGGACAGGGTATCTGCAGGTTTAAGGGAGCTAAATTTAAGACTTTTTAAGACCTTTTTATGGCCACTTTGACCAAATCAAGCAATTTTTTTAAATTAAATTTAAGCTATAATTTCCAGCTATTGCCTGGAACCGGTGCTAACCACGTCACAAACGTGGGATTCATCCAGTTACCATTAAACTTCCCCACGGCACAAGCTCCCACTAGAGCTTAACCATCTAATGTGCTCATCTAAAAATAGCCCCCTTTCACAACCAACTGAATGTGTACGGTTCCGCTTTTGCCAAAATCGTACACAAAAAACGCTGAACACCAACTAGAAATTCACGAAAATTTTATGGGAATAAAAGAATCTTGTTTATTGGGTCTTTGGTAATTTAAGACCTTTGGGAACTATTTAAGGATCAACTTCCATACTATTGAGGTTCTTTTTTTAAATGTTTTTCTAATTTTTATTCTCCCTGTGTCTTATTGATTTTTAGCTGTCAGCTTTTGGGAATTTTGTTGTATTTCCTTTTTATCTTTTATCTGTGTTCGACATGTTTGTATACCGCCGGTTTGATTAATTAACATTTTTAGTGTACAGCGCCTTGTTTGGTTGTAATGCCTTGTGAATGCGCTTTATAAATAAAATTGGATTGGATTGGATTATTTGTCATTTTTAAGGATTTTTAAGGTCTTAAATTTGGAAAAGCAAATTTAAGACGTTTTAAGGACCCGCGGATACCCTGGTGGGAAATATAAGAGAAAGGATAAAAGAAGTTTAGCTAAATAAACTCAAGAGGAAATTTTTGTTCTTCTACCTCCCTCACCAAGAAGCAATGAAAACGTTCAACTTTTGCATTTTCTGATATGGGGCAGTAAGGGCTTCAGTTTAATGTAAATTAATAATAATATTAAACTAATGGTGATGCGATGTAGGGACTTTAGAAATGCTCTACCAATTGGTTGCGCAGGCAGGCAAAGGGATATATTAAAACGTGTTCTGCGTGGATGTCAAACCCTATTTTGGAACCATTTGTTCCCTCCGAGACAAAATGTGTGTGTTCCTGTACACACAGGAAGGTCTAGGATCACGGTGACATTAAGCCAACATTAGTAATCTACAAAGGAGGTGAAAATCAAAACACAATGAGGCCATGTGTTGTGGAGCTTTAAATGGATTCCTGGAGGCAAACAAACAGGTCAGATCAAGTTCATAAATAAATCAGGTTGTTTACATTTCAGAAATGAGCTGAGAATATTTTACAGTGCTTCACTGACGTGACAAGTAATAAATTATACATTCACCATCTCACCTGGACAAATAGATGTCAGGTAGAAGAGAGACTCACCTGTGTTAGCAGTGACGCTCACATCTCTGAGTAAACACTGCACAGCAGCTGACCACCTCTCAGCTTCCAGCCTGCTTTCAGCCAGAAAGGCCCTCACCTGCCTGCGTCTGGACACCCCCTTTCGTCGTTTTCCTGGCGGGTACCAGTACAGAACTAAGAGGGGCGGCGCAGGCAAACGGGGGCAGCTGCACCCAAGTAGTTCTGATATAGGCAGCAAGAGACGGGCTTCCTTTCCCGGTCGTGGCGACAGGCGCTGGATGTGTATGTGGGAGTGGGTGAGGGTCAAGGCATAGTTGGACGCTGGAGCTGAGGAGCCAGCAGGGGAGAGCCCCCCAGGGCTGCTCGGGCGGCTGTTATTGTTGCCGTTGCTGCCGGATCCCCAACTGGCAAACTGGCCATGAAGGAGGGCCTCTTCTGGAGACGGTGGCAACGGTTCTGGGGATCGCATCCTCTCCGTTCAAAACAAGCTTGATCAGTCGGACAGTAGAAATGGTTCAGGTCCAAAACCTGCAGAGCGGCTTCTGCCAGATCTTCAAGACTTTCAGGGAAAATCAAATAGCGTCTGAAAACTTCTAAATCATTCTTCAGGTAATGTGAGGAAAAAAAAAAAGAACAAAAACTTCTCATCCAGTGTGTCCGTTACAGATCAGGTCTTCATACGAAAAGGAAAACAAACTTCCAGCAGTCGCTTCTTTAGAGTAAATTTTCCAGTGAACATGGGAGCTGCATGACAAGCCCGTCCTATCACAGCGTGATAGCAACAGCTGTCGGCTCCTGCTGGTTTAGAAGCAAACAGGCAACGCTCCAACACAACAGGTAAAGAAAATCAGTCATTAAAACAAGTGCTCTTCACAAAAAGATGCCCACGTATAAAAATAAACTTCCATTACATCTTAAAGCTGCCTTGTGAGCTAGCGATTCAAGGTAGCTGAGCAGCTAATTAACATAAACAATAAATAATTACACAAAGGAACTAAATTGGAAATTATATTAAATTATCAATAAGACAAAAAAGCAAACACACCTTGTTTACACAAGGAGGCTTGAGAATTGTAATTCAAGAGCAGAAGATTTTCAGTGAAGTATGTTGCATGGTGAGAGCAGACTGAAGAGTGATAAATGCCACTGAGATATGATGAGTGCAGGTTTTCTTAAGACCTTTGAAGCCTCTATTGCTATCGTTTAATCTCAGAGATAAATTAGGCACGAACAAGAGGCGTGACGGGACTAGATGACCAGACAGTAGCGTAAAAAACTAAAGTTTCATCTGAGAATATATGAACAAAAACAACAAAAACAAAACAGAAAGAAAGTTCAAGGTGGGTCCTCGGTTTATGTCATCTTAAGTGTCCTTGAGTCAAGCCTCGCGACTCACGTTCCCTCCCAAACATCTCTGTTCCTGTGTGAGGAAGATGAAAGCAAGAGTAACCATCGATCAGAAAAGTTTGAAATCAGAGCAGAATGATTAATCTAATCTACCCCGAGCTACGCCAAGATTATTCTGTATCACGCTTTTAAACAATGAACGCAACAAGCACAGATAATCTGTGGAGATTACGGTCACGGGGTGAAGCAACACAAGATCCGTGGAGCACGTTGACCTTAGGTGCGTCTGTGCAGTCCTGACTCACAGTCTCACATCCTCAACAGGCTTGCTGAGACACCATATTACTGTGGTTGAAAGATTGCACGTGAACAGCTGCAGTTTGTTGGCCTTTTCATATTCTAGAGTTTTTCATCTGACAGGATTTGGGGCCAAAGTGTCTCTCACAATCCGAATTTGGTTTGCTGACCCCACACGGTACTGGATTTTCTTGATTAAGCAACACATAATTAGCTTTTTATTCCCACATAATCCTGCTTAAACTGTAACGGCAGGTAGAAAAATCCAAAGTATCAAACATAGTTGAGTTAAACACACTAAATTACTGGTGTTTAATAAATAATTTAGTTATCTAAAGCCACGGAGGTTAAAAATGATTTGAGCATCTGATTTGAATCACAAGGCTGTGGGACTTTGGTTAAAGAATAGAGAACATTGTGCAAGCTGCGGCGCAAACTAAATCAATAATTGATGTTTTGTTCTGATTTAACTCTGGTTTGAAGCACCTCACCGATGCCCATTGTTGCATCCTTCGTCCTTGAAGTCCGGGGCGGGACACTCAGAAATAATAACACAAACAGGCTAAATTTGTCACCCACACAATAAGGCTGCTGGGATGCATGATGGTAGGAGATTTAGTCATTCCAGGGACACATTTATCAGCCTGGTATGTTCACACACACTTAGTAGAAATGCGTTAAGCTTAACTAGCAGCCTGGAGATCTTTAACTAAAGGGGTTTAGCCGGTAAACTTTGATCGATGCGGTCTGACCCAGGCTGTTAGCTAGCTAACTTAAACTGTTCCAGCGGCTGCAGCAAAAACAAACTAAAGAGACAGTTTTGGGAAAACGGTGCCGAGCTTGAGATATGAATGAACGGTTTTTGGTTAAAGATAAACAATTAAAGGTGTAAATAAATTATAGCTAATGGCTCAAGCTAGCTAGTACAAGCTAGACGTCGCTGAAGTTCGCTTCCGAATACAAAGTTAGGTAAAGGGTCATTTCACTGTTTTTGTTTTTACGTTTAATCAAGTCCAGTCCAAAAAGTCACAAACTTGCGTCTAATTGAGCCTCTACATTATCCTACACTAAATACAGATTATTCTATAAACACTAAATGCATATCGTTTTAAAACACAGTTAAACATTTATCCCACTGCTGTTTCATGTTTTCCATCATATTCTCATTCCCTGGAAGTATTCTGTTTGGCTTTTTACACTGTGTTTTATTTATTCTTTTAACAGTGGTAAATTCGTTAAAATCTTTTAAGTATATCTTGCACATCTGTTTCTGTTCACTGTACCTCCTTTTATTCTTCATTGCCCCATCATGAATCCGATTTGCTGCTGTGACACCATAATTTCCTCACTGAGGGACAATAAAGAATTTAGACAAATACAGTAGAATAGACTACAGCACAAACACTTAAGAGAATAATTTGAAGAAAAATAATAACGAAAGTACACGTGTGCACACATAAGCAGTAAGCTAGTACTGTAACCTTCGACCACTAATCTATTTGTAAACATTCAAATGGGGCTTTTTTTGCCCTATTTTACACTGGCAAGATATCAGACCTATCTGCAAAGTTATTTTCATTTGTGCCACATAAACAAAGCAGCCACAGCCCTATCTCACAGGGCTTTAACTTAAGAGGTATGCTTTGCTTTGACATAAGCTAAACTGAAATCTATTTTAAAACAACAAAAAGCATAAGATGAAACATTTTTCACATATTTCAATTCTACTTTTATCAGATACAGTCCATTAAATTTAACACGTACTATGCTGCCTATAACAAAATAAAATGATCCTTTAAGCCCACTTGAAGCTGTACTCTTAAAATGAGTGTGTCTCAGTGATAAATTCAATGTGAAATCAGTCCATCTAAATCCTAGTTTATGAAATGGGATCGCTCAAAACTCCAATAATGTAGAAGCATTTTCTTTGAAATGGTCACAAATAAATGCGTTCCCTCAATCACAAACTGTTAAACCAGTCCAGATTTAATATGCTGAGGTATTTTAGATTTTAAATTTAAAGTTATGTAATGCAATCCGGATTTTAAGAGAAAAAAAAGTTAATTTCGTTTTAACCCGACAGCAGCTTTAGAATCCCCATTCACAAACGAACTTCAGCAGCCACAAACGCAACTGTGTTTTCTATTGGCGGAGGCTAGCAGCCCGTTACCTTTTCTTTAATATGAAACATTTGACCAAATATTTCAAGTATATTCACAGGACAATTATTAAGAAAACGTATTATGCGCAAACTCCTCGTCTGACGTTGTAATTATTGGCTCAAAGAGCTACATACGTTAGCCTGCTAGCTACCAGTCGGGCGTAATGATTCATTACTAACACCAAAATGAACAATGTTCACCTTTTTTGCCTAGTAAAAAATAATTACGTTACTTTAAAGAGCTATTTTAATGACCAGACAAAGCGTAATTACCTCATCCTGCCCCCCTCTTCAGGACGAGTTAGTAGCGGACTGAGAAAACTGCAGCTAGCAGCAGGAAGTGACTGGAGACGGAGCAGCAGCAGCTCTGAGCGGAGAGGAAACCCAATGACGATAAAAGCTTCGAACGCCCACCGACATTCTCCAATCAGCGACAGAGCACCACTTCCGGCCTGACACGTTTGTTTCAGGCCAGCTGATGAAGGCTCAACAGAGCATTTAATTTAATGCTCCATTACGTTATCTCGTGTTTAATATATTTAGGAATTTATTTTTTTATGTAAACAAGTGAGTGAACCGTTTAAGAAAAGAATGGTTACTGAAGACTGAAGAAGAATGAGGACAAAATTATTTTTGTACAGTCAATCTTTTATTTATCAGACTGGATGGAAAAACAGACTAGTTCTTGTAAGCACGGCTGGCTCTGCGACCTCTGGCTCTCTCAAACTTCCTGCCCTTGGAGCGGATATAGGGCCTGGAGGAGGAAAAACGTTATCAGTCAAAAGTTTCAAACATCTTCAGAAGCTGATTTAACATTTAAATTTAGACATGTGTGAAGATTTTTGCATGGGCAGAACATTTCTATGTTCTTAGTCAAAATCTTAAAGTACTAGATTTTAACAAATATGCACTATTAAACGTTTAAGTTGCAGCCCAACCCCTACTGCACACTGGAAGCATCAACGGCGCAGAACGAGACTGTTTCAAACTAGAATCCATTATAATCTATGGGGTAATTCAAACCAGCTGCAGCGTGGAAATTTTCAGGCGCGTCCCAGAAGCGGCTCGCCGCGCCACCCAGACCCCGGCTCCATTTTTGCTACGAGCCACTTCTGTGACATAATTTTCACAGTTAATGTAGGACTAGACAGGAAATCACATACGATTTTGGGGTAAAACCCACGGTAATTTTCAAAATAAAAGACTTGAGGCAATGCAATTTCATATCTATTTAGATTGCGTCAATACAATGGGCCATTCCCATCTGTACTGGGTCGGCCCGGGCCGGGTGGCCCCAGTCGGCCCCAGCCTGGCCCGGTTGATTCCACACATCCTTGCTTTAAGCCCATGTGGGCTGATTCTACCCACCAATCAGAGGCTTGCTCTAATGGAAGGTGTGAATTTGCTGTCAGCAGTGGGTGTGTTGGTCCTGGTCGGCCTGAAGCAGACCCCCTCGAGAAGAGGGCTGAGAATGAGCCTTGGTTGGCCCGGAAAAATACCAGGCCACCCAAATATGTAAACAACCTACGCTACCCGGCCCGGGCCGACCCGGTACAGATGGGAACGGCCCACAAGTCACTTAACAGCTTATTTACTCCCAGCATAATTCTAGAAGTGCAGCGGTGTGTTTTTCATGGCTTTAACGTTATTGCGATTTCCTTCTTTTTGGTTTAATGGTGAATGACAAACTTGAGGGATTTAGTGATCTCGCGAGTCCAGCGAGGAAGCAAAGACTGTCCCGATGCGTAAAGCTGCAAGTAAACTGTTCTGGTGCCGCTCTGCTGATGTTTCCAGTGTGAAGAAGGGGTTACAAACAGATGTTCATGCTGTTTTCTTAGAATCTTTTAAATTGACCTCAAGTCTAACGGCACATCAGCAGCGCGGAAAGTCAGCGGAACGTCACAGCTTCAAATAGAATCCATTATTCTACGGGGGTGACTCAAACCAGCAGCGATGCAGCAGTTTTCATGTGCGTCCCAGAAGCGGCACGCTGTGCCGCTAAAATTACCACACGGCTAGACAGGAAATCACACACGGTTACAGTGTAAAATCTCCAGTGATTTTCTAAATAAAAGATTATTGCAGCGATGAGATTTCATATCCATGTAGATTACGTCATTGCAAGTGACCTAAAAGATTATTTACTCCCAGTATCACTTTAGAAGTGCAGCGGTGTGTTTTTAATGGTTTTAATCCTGAGAGCAGATAGGAACAGCATCATATATGACATCAAACAGCGATATCAAACGTGATTTTCTTCTCTCTGGTTTAATGGTAGATGGCATAAACTTGAGGGATTTTGTGATCTCGCAAGTTAAAGCAAGGAGCCGCTCTGCAGCTGAGACTCTCGGCATGCAGCAATTGCTGCGAGTAAACCTTCCCGCGCTGCTGCTGCTTCCAGTGTGCAGTAGGGGTAAGTCATGTGGTACATAACTAAAATTAAGTTTGCTTAACTAACCTAAATTTGATGCTTATTTTAGCTTCACATGTAGCACACCTTTTTCAGAAGCCTTGGTATTAATGAGTGTACTAATTAACTAAACACTTCACTCGCTGTGCACCAGACCTGTGACGATGCAAGTCAAGCTTATTCTCACATAGGGATGCACCGATACTGATACCAATACCAGTGTCGGTTTCGGTAAAAGTTAACCGATACCAGGAACCGATACCAATGCAGTTTCTTGAAAATGGCTTCACTGTAAAGCCGGGCGTACACTGTGCAACTTTTTCACTTTTTTGAGCCGATTTTCCAGTCGTGCGAGAATCCACGACATCGGGGCGAGTTGTGTGCCGAGCGTCGTGTAGTGTACAGGGGGTTACGAGAGGTGATTAACACCACGTGACCAGCTGCCGATCAGCAGTCGTGAGGTCGCACGGACTTCTGGCGTGTTTGATATTTTGCTCGTCCCTCGTGAGGGTATCGCACTGTTGAAGCGGCGCCGCGAGCAGCTGCGACCCAAAATGTATCAGAACCGCTCACGGCGCATGCGCAATCCTGCATCAACACCGCTCACTCGCTATTTCCCTAATAACACACGCTGTTCGTTTTTATTTCTACACGTTTTTTTACTCACAAAGATTGTTAAGAAAGCATGTTTGTCGTGTTCATGTCAAATTAAACTGATCACAAAACACAGATTTACTTTCTTTATTTCTTTTTCCTCATCCAACCCCCATAAATCCCTGTGTGTCCTCCTGCAGCGCTCCCGAAGGACAACAGGCAAAACAAGACAAAAAAGTCTGACGTGTTGAGTAAAAACTGCTATTTTTAGCATATTTTTAGGTCCGACGTGTTGCTACCAGACGTACAGTGTGAGCAGTCAGGTCGCATCCGAGAACTGGGTCGTGCAGTGTGAACGCATGACTCGTGAAATCTGCCCTGCGAGGAAGTCGTACAGTTTGAGCTGAAGCTGAACGCTGCGAGTGAAAAAGTCACACAGTGTCCGCCCGGCTTAACTTGTCATTTCTGTTCACCTAATATTTTAGTTTTGTGATGATTTCCATTCTTTTTTTTTTACTTTTTATCTACCTCACAGTCTTTTCCTGTTGAAAGCAGAGAAGAAAATAAAATCTGTATTCCAAATCATTGCATTTTTTGTGTGGTAGAAGTATCGGTATCGGTAATCGGTATCGACAAGTACTCAGATCAAGGTATCGGTATGGAAAAAAGTGGCATCGTTGCATCCCTACTCTCACATATCTGCTTATATAGAATCAAGAGTGCAACTGGTCATAGAATTTCAGGTGATAAAAAAAAATTAAAAATACGTACAAAAAAGAAAATCACACTGATTGAGCTGAGGTGTAAATAGAAAATTACGGCACCAATAAGATTATATTTGGCTTAATGAAAAATTCTAAAGTAAAGAAAAGTAATCTCTGTTATACTCAACTTTCCACTGAGCAACTCTTTCACATCAAGTACTGAGAACGTTTGGTAGGTGGATTGTTCCTTACAGCATTTTCTGAAATATTTCTCAATCTGACGTACAATTTGTTTGGAAAGTGTGGCTTTCTCAACTCGCTTCTTTACATTTTTCACTTTAATATTAGGATAAAAAAACAATCCTGCAGTCCGAGAGCTGATTACCATTGCTATTATTAAGGAGAGACTGTTTTTGTGTGTACACATACTTGGTGTGGCTGTGAGGAGTTCCAGGAGCTTTTCCAAAGTGCCTGTACACCTCTCTGCCTTTGCGGGGTCCTGCAGTGACAACAGTTATACATCAACAGTTACTGGTGTGCGGATCTTAAAAAATTAAATAAAATCAAAACTTCTATTAAAAGCTGTCAGAAAACAAAAACTTTTGACAAGAAAAAGGCAGAAACCTGCATGTATGCGTAGTTTCTAATTTATGTCCTCACTTTCATAAATAGATGCTGAGAAAAATCTAACATTTTTTCCTCTGGCAGCACATCAGCTTATACTTTGAATGTAAATGTTATCAAAATAGTAGAATAAAGCTGGTAGTTTATATTTCATTTATATAAAAACTTCTTTAATAAATCAAATAGAAACCTACCTGACAGCAGCACTGTGCCATGTCCTTTGGGAGAAGCCAAAGCCAGCTGGTCAAATGTCATCACCTGACCTCCTGCCTTAAGGATCCTGCGGCGAGCGCCGTCGGTTACCCTGAGAGCGCAGATCTGGGTGACAAGAAACAGGTATTCATAATCTTTCGTTTGAGAAGCAGCATACGAGTTTACACCTTTATGGACATAAAGTATTGGTAATTTCATCTTTAGGAAACTCACCTTCAGCTTTGGGACATCCTGAATCCTGACATCATCAGTGACCGTTCCCACAACAACAGCAATTTTGTTCTCACGGCCAGCCAACTTCATCTTACGAATCTGGTCAGCAGAGAGAGGGAGGGGGGAAAACACGTCTATTTATGTTAGGAAAGAACACATGTGCCCCTCAACACCTGTAACTAAATACACAAGTTTTTTAGTTGAAGATAAAACCACAAAAATCCAGATGTTTTGACAGCTAAATGCTTTTATCTAAAGTCATTACTCAATTCTTTTTATAACTGATCCAAAAACATATTGCCAGGCAGGCAGGCAGGTTAACTTATTAAAACCTAAATTAATTCCAGACAAATAATTGATCTGCATATTAGACAAAAACAAACAGAGCATTTATACCCTTTGATTTATGCAAATTCATATCTTGAAAAAAAGACAGATGTGATGGAATTTTTAACAGGATCTTTTGTTAACAATTAAACTGGATGCACTCAGATTTGTAAACAATCATGAAAGAACTTAATAAGTGTACATTCAATTTAATTTATCTGCCTGAAATCAAAGCTAAAAAGTGTTCAACCATCAGAAGCGACTGACCAGGCGGGAGATGGCCATGGGAGGCCTGTTGGTCCTACTCATAAACAGCCTCCTCAGGACCACCTTGTTGAAGGGAGCATTGGAACGACGGGCAAGAAACCTGTACAACTGTAACACACACACACACACACACACACACACACACACACACACACACAACCCAGCACAGTAAAAACCAGATGAACCAGACGACTTAGAAATGAGAGTTAACAAAAACAGAACTTTATTTATCGAAAGCTTTACTTGGTAATTCTAAAATGTTTCACACATACCTTAACCAGGAGCCTGAGATAGATATCCTGGCTCTTAGGCTCCTTCCTGTGCACCTTACGGTCCTTATTGTGCCTGATGTCAACTCCCTAGGAAAAGGGACAAAGGAGAAAAAATAATTTACAACACGCTGTTCTATACGAGCAAATTAAAATCCTTGTGTACACTAGTCAGGTTTTCACGTAGCTAAAGGCAGAACACACGTTGACACCACAGCTGACATTCAATGGGTTCATTAAAATGGTCTATATAGGTTGTGTTAAAACCTGTGATCATGTCTCACGCTTAAACAAGAAAAAACATCTACTAAACGTAACTATTCTACGTACAAAAGACCGTCTGAATTAGACTTTTTACATAGCTGAAAGCTAAAAGCGACACTGTTCGGCATCAATGTCGGCTTTCAAGACTGTGAGTTAATCGTGAGTTACACGGACAGTTAACACAAAATCGTTACAACAGGATGATTCCTATTATGTTCGGGAAACGTTTCTATGTCCATCGTGTAGACAGAGTGGTTAATTTTAAAGGATTCGTATGGATACTTAAGCTTTCGTGTTTGTAAATTTCAGTTAGCAACACCTACCATCTTGAACTCAGCGAAAAGGGAAAAGGAAGAGACGAGCTCTCGCGATAACACCGCACGGTGGACTCTGAACTTCTGATTGGTTACAGAGTGTGCACTTCCTGTCAGCTGAAGAGGGACAATGCCCCTAGTGGAGAAACGTGAAAAGAGGACACGTTTCAAAAATTTGTCATGTACATGTACAGTGTAAGAAAAAGAACGTACAAAACATTTAAACCAACATAACAATTAATAAGAATAGTACACGTTTTAAATTTTGGATTTAAAGCAAATATTAAACAAATAAATGATCAAATTGGAAAAAACATTTACAAATGGTATTTACAGCGCCGATCATATATATATGACATACGAGAATTATATATATATATATATATATATATATATATATATATATATATATATATATATATATAGATAGATAGATAGATAGATAGATAGATAAAAGATAGATAAAAGATGATAGATAGACAGATAGATAGATAGATAGATAGATAGATAGATAGATAGATAGATAGATAGATAGATAGATAGATAGATAGATAGATAGACAGATAGATAGATAGATGGATAAGGTCAATGCAAAATAAGCAAAGTTTCAGTTTTTCCGAGCAATTTCTTTATTATTTTTCAGACAATGTAGCAAACCAAAACAACTGCTGGGGCTTCAAGGGACATAAGAGCTTCACAAGATAAATAATTATAGCTAAAAATTAATAATTCTTTCTATAGTAATGATTTTTTCAACAGAATTCAACTAAATACATTTCATATTCAATATGTTCAAAATTTCTCTCACGTTTTTAAAGCAAGTTAAATTTACTTTTATTAAACATAAATTATTCCAGAGTGAGACAGGTACAGTGTGACAATATAAAAATAACAGCTTTGCTGTTATCAGAGAAAACAAATGAACATGAATACTGATGACAAAAAAGACAGCCAATATGATCCTCCCTCATGCAGAGACTTGTGAAATTCACTCATTAAAAACAAAAAAGAAGCTACAAAAGTGTGACATCACTGGGCTTTTATTTTGATGACCAAACTTTGACAAAGTAGATCAGCTGATTTACTGCAAATTAAAAACAATATTCTGCAGATTCTCCCTGCAGGGGTTCATGTTAATAATTTATAAAACTTGAAAAGTCTCTGACTCATTCAGGTTTGTGGTTGTGCTTCTGCTTGAGGTGACACAGAAAAATCGTGAAAGCCAGCGCAGCGCCTCCCAAGAATGTTGTTCGGGCCACAGGGGGGACAAGCGTAAAGTTCACAGCCTGCAAAAAACAAGAGAACAAAACACAAATCCATTTTTTTAAAGGGAATTTTTCCAAACTTCTACACGTGTAAAACAAACGTGTCTCACCTGCATTGTTGAGTAATAAACCACTCCAGCCTGCAAGGAAATAGAGTTTAATTCACTTTTGGGAACAGAACTCCACAAATGTAATTTATTAAAGGCAAACACAGATTACACGTTGTTAATACATAACTGAATTCTCTTTGTAATATAGAAGAGTTCAGAGCTAACCTTTTCTCTTTCTCTGTTAAATCAGCAAAAACTGAATATGATATATTTTTCTTACAACCCCCCCCCCCCCCCCCCATCCCCACCCCGCGCTTAGCCGTCAAACAATAAAAACAACAGAAAAATGATTGACCTTGTACCTGGTAAGATGTCCAGAATTTATGTCGCCACTCCTCAAGTGGGTCTTCTTTATTTTCTAACAAACTTAAACCTGAAAGGTAAAACAGATCACAAGAAAAAAACGAGTGAATTAGTTTTTAATAAAATGAACCTTATCCAAACAGCAAGGTCCAAAAAGGTTAGAAAACAGACAACCGGACCACTCTGGTTTCTTGAAGATGTTTTGTCGCTCATCCGAGGAGATTTGTCACTTCTAACTGGAATATGTGAGAATCAAGCTAATAAACTTTAGCTGTCTGTTGTTGTAAACTACCTATGAATACCACTCCTCCCTACCCCTGAGGAGCAGTGGAAGCCACTTGTGTGGGAATGGTTGTTAACCGAGGAGGAGGCCTCAGGTTTCACCTTTCCAGCACATTTAGTGCAGCTCAAAAACCTCACTTCAAAACAATTTCAGTCTCACCCTCCTACATCTAATCAAAACATGTATTGCCACACAATAGGAACTAATGACTTCAACAACTCATCAGAAGGTAGGGAGGAGTGGTTTTCATAAGTGGTTGTTTCAGCTCGTTAAATAACAGAGCTACGGTTTATAAACACCACCCTCTCATATTGCAGTCAGAGATCCACGGATGAGAAGCAAAACGTCTTCAAGAAACCAAATAAGCCCAGCTGCCGTCATTCGAGCCTCTTTGGAATACCATGACCTGGATGACTGAGAACCTTCACCAGCAAAACAGCAAGAGCTGCATGATTAGCTGTTCAAAATGGAACAGAGGAGTAAAACAGTATTAGTTCTGTAAATAAAGGTTTATGAAAAAAAGACAAATATGGTTGGTATTGGAGTTGAGTGCCCTCTAAAACTATATATGTGACTCATATCTTACCAATATAAAACACGCTGATGGTAAGAGGAGCTGCAATCAGCTGATCCACTACAACCTTCCATGTCACCGCCGTCACGCTTCCTCCTGGCAGTGTTCTCTCCAGCCATCTCAGCCAGTGATAGTTGAAGTTGGCATGGAAACAGAAACCTACAGTCGCCACCCGAGCGGTCTGATGCCAGTCGATGCCAGTCGAGTCCTCTGATCCAGACCCAGCAGGTTTCCCTTCCAGAACACTCTGCTGTATGAGGTCCGCTGAAGCAAACAGAGCCGTGTATCCCAGGATGTTGCTGATGTACGGGTGAGCCCTGAACACAGCCCAGGCCCGGTTCATGGTCAAATGTCAGACTACAAAGAAGAGAAACAGATGCTTAAAATATGTTTGTCAGCCAGTTTGGAAGAAAACAAGACATTTTTGATCATTTGTTTATTTGTTTATTTAAGGATCCCCATTAGTCTTCACCATAGTGAAGACTATTCTTCCTGGGGTCCGCATCATTAAAAACATTTACAACAGTACATGTACAGTGTGAGAAAAAGAACGTACAAAAAACATTTAAACCAACATAACAATTACTAAGAATAAAAACAACAAATTTAGCAAAGATAAAAATTATTCAAATAAGAAAATATACCATCTCTCAACCATTCATCAGTGAGGGCAGTCAGAGCTGTGCTGGTAGACTAGCCTTCTCTATAAGCATCTGTTCTCTGGCAGGCAGGAAAGGCAGTGATGAGAGGTAAAATAATCTCTTTCTCATCACATAAGAAAAAAATGGAAAACAAACGTATTCAGGAGTTAGAGGAAATCATTAAGTCTTTAGAGGCATCCACAGAAGAAGAGTTAATGAGCAAATTACGTAAAGCTAATTATTATTGGAATTATTGACAAAAAGACACAATTTTTAGCACAAAGACTACGAATAGAAAACTTTGAACATAGTATTAAATCAGGTACATTTTTGGCTAGCCAGTTAAAAATAAATAGAGAAAACTACCATATCTGCTGTTAAAGACTCAACCGGGAATATAGTTTATGACCCTGAAAGAATAAACAACACTTTCAGAGACTTTTACCAAACTTTGTACTCACCACAGATAAACCCATCAGATAACGAGATCAATGAGTTCCTTGACAGGATAACACTTCCTAAATTATCAGACAGCCAAGTTACAGTCCTGGACTCGCCACTAACATCAGCTGAGCTCCAGGAAGCCCTTATATCCATGACTAATAGGAAAGCTCCAGGTCCAGACGGGTTTCCAGCAGAGTTCTACAAAGAATTCTGGATCATTCTGGCTCCAATATTTTTCAGAATGGTGAGGGAAATCGAAGAGAGCGGCAGATTACAGCCAAACATGATCTCAGCCAATATTAATCTCTTGTTAAAACCAGGCAAAGACCCTACATTTCCTACCAGCTGTCGCCCAATTTCTCTTATTGATGTTGATCTCAAAATAAGTTCTAAAGCCCTGGCAAAAAGATTAGAGAAGGTAACCCCCTTCATAATACACCCAAACTGGTTTCATCAAGGGTAGACAGTCATCCACAAACTCGCGTAGATTACTTAATTTGATAGATTTCTCTTACAGTAGAAACATAGAAACTAGTATATTATCTCTAGATGCAGAAAAGGCTTTTGATAGAGTTAATTGGAAGTTCTTATTTGCAACTTTACATAAATTTGGTTTTGGGAACTTCTTCATAAACTGGCTACAAACATTATACAGTTCACCAACAGCACGTGTCAGGACGAACGACCAAATATCAGCTACCTTCTGTCTTCAGAGGGGGACCAGGCAGGGATGCCCACTCTCCCCCTCACGGTTTGCTATCTTTATTGAACCAGCAGCAGCAATTAGGCAAACAACAGGTATTAAAGGGATTAAGTGTAAGAAAATAGAACATAAGATCAGTCTTTATGCAGATGATGTTTTACTCTTTCTCTGGAATTCTCAATCCTCTCTCTCTCATTCAATAGAACTGATAAACTCTTTTTCAAAAGTTTCAGATTACTCTATAAACTGGTTAAAATTCACAGTTCTACCAATTAATTTCTCTTTTGTCAATTTGCTTAATACACAATTGGAGTCAGGGAATATCACATACCTGGGAATTAATGTCTCTCCCAAGTTAGCAGATCTAACCAAACTAAACTACATCCCACTTTTAAAGAAAGTGGAAGATGATCTTGCAAGATGGAAATCCTTACCGATATCACTCATGGGGAGAATTGCTACAATTAAAATGATGGTCTTACCCAGAGTAAATTACTTATTTTCAATGATCCCAAACAAACCACCAGCTGACTGGTTTAGATCTCTGAACTCCTCAATTACCAAATTCCTTTGGCAGGATAAACCTCCACGAATTAACTTAAAAACGCTTCAGAAGACCAAAGACAGAGGAGGACTGGATCTACCCAACTTTTATTATTATTTCTTAGCCAATAGGCTGCAATATATACCAAGATGGTTGCAAGATAACCCACTAGATGAGTCTTGGTTAGACATAGAACAGACACTTTGCAATACGATAGAGCTTTCAGACTGATATTTTGCAAAATAATAAAATGATAAACCTTCCGGACTGGAAAAATAAAGGAATCCTATACCTGGAACACATATATGAAGGATTGGACTTCATCCCATTTAATAGAATAGTGTCCCAATTTGGAATAGATAAGAATAGCTTTTTAGAATACCAACAAATTAAATCTGTAGTCAAACAAAAATTTAAGCTCAATAAAATAGAATTACAAACACCATCAAGGGTATTAGACTTCTATAATCTGAAACTACTGTCTAAAGTATATAAGACACTGTCCAAAATAGACGATAGAATAGCAATCCTTATTGAAAAATGGGAGGTGGATCTATCAGTCAGCTTTGACCAGGACTTCTGGTCCCAAACTTGTTTAAAAACTTTTAAAATGATCAGACACTCCAATTTACAATTAATTCAGAACAAAATTCTACACAGAGTACACTATACAGATCATCGGATGTTCAAGATGGGGTTTGTGTCGTCTGACACCTGTACACACTGCACAAACAACGTTCCTGACAATTACATTCATGCACTGTGGTCCTGTCCACCTGTCCAGGAATTTTGGGGTAGAGTATGTGAAGACCTGTCAAAGTGTCTGAAATGTCATATCCCAACCACCCCCTCTTTGTTTACTGGGAAACCTGGACGATGTCCCGATTGAAACATCTTTGGTTCACGTGGTTCTGACCGCTATATGCATCGCTAAGAAAACTATCTTCTTGAATTGGAAAAATAGAGATACTCTTTGCATCAACCAGTATAGAAATCTTTTGTTAGATCATATTACACTTGATATAGCCTCTGCCTGTGCTTCCACTTCAAATCAATCTCCATGGGCTCCTTTGATCGGTTCCATCACATAGCGATAACGGGGGACCATTGATATTGTCCTGCGGGATGATGTGGGTGAGGGGGTGGAGGGTCTGAGTTTGGAATATCCGGATGTTCCTTGGAGGTGGGTTCACTGGGGGTGTCTGGGACTGGAGGGCTATTGCCCCCCTCTGGAGGTGCTTGGGTTGCCTCGGGGGGTGGACTACTGGCAGTTGTGAGTGGGCCCCCTTGGAGGTCTTGGCGGTGGCCATGGGTTACTGCCCGGCGGCTGCATTGGCCCTGGGCAGGTCTGGGTGTGGGCCTGGGGGCTCGGGGTGTGGGGGTGGCCGGCCCCGTGGGGGGATCTGGGCGGGGCCTGGGGGTCGGGTCCTGACATGTATGCTGCCGAGGAGAAGGCAGGAACATGCAGCAGTGCCTGACTCAGGTTCAGGGGCCTCGGGTAGACCTTGGCTCCTCTGCTGTCCCATTACAGGGGTGGGGGAAGTCCAGGAGGGGGAGAACCCAACCTTACCTGGATGTCCTATGTCTTTTATAGTCCGGAAGTTGTGCAAATGCAGGGATGGGCGTAGATATTCTGCTGGGGTGGGGCTGGGTTGGTGCCCTCGGAATCCGTGAGGCTCTGCAATGCTGCTGCTTTGGGCCCTGGCAGGATGGGCTGGGGTCTCCATGCTCTGGGTGGCATTTTGACAACAGAGGTGCCTATTGGGGCCAGTGGGGGAGCTGGCTCCCTGGAGGGCTTAGCCCAACCAGCTATTCCTCCCCATCCCCACACATTTCTCTCCTCCTGCTCCCTCACATCATCACACAAACATGCAGATAGGACCTTGGGGGGTGGACAAGTCAGGGGGTGCGGGTATGGACCCCATTTCCGCATTCCTGTGGCAACCTGCCCCCCAATTTTATCTGCACATTAAACACTTCCACCAACGACATTCCACGCAAACACACACTTAGGGCCTTGGGAGTGAGCACATTCAACGGCATTTGGCAGGGGGATTTCTCAGCCTCATCCCAAGTGCCGGTGCCCACTTCCAATTTTAAACTGCACTTAGATACTGAGGGCTGTGGGTGCAAGTGGGGTGGTATGGTGGCATCAGCTGGCATAGGCCAGACGATGCTCGCACTGCCCGCTCACCACAGCCATGGAATACACCTCATCAACACTCATTAACACCATATTGGAGCAGGCGGAGGGAGACTAGGGGTCTTAGCACACCTCTGTTGTCGCTTGGCTTCCTGGGGCTGGAGGCTAGGAGGGAGATCCGGCCGTCCGGTTGGGGTCTGGGGTGGTGGATTGCTGTGCTCAGCGTTGGGCGGGGGAGCCTGCTCATCAGCACCCCAGCAGAAAGGGTCGAACTCTTGGAACCGGTAATGGTTGTACCCCATGTGCAGCAGTACCGGGACCAGAGTGAATAGGGTGTGTATGGAGAGCATGAGTGGGTGTCCGGCGTGCATTTTGTAAGTCTTTGGTTGTATGTGTATGTGTGAGCATGAGGGAGGGGGTGTGTGACTGTGTTTGTGTATGACTGTATATGTCAGGTGGGGCCTTTGACTCCTCCCTTCTCCTGGGACTTCTTTTGGTGATATAGATCTTCGTCTCCCCTCTCCCTGCCACACCTGGTGTGGAGTGCGGTGCCTTGGTCTGCCTGGGTCATGGCTCCCGGGTCAGGGAGTTTAAGATTTTTGGCATCTGCCTGACCATTCCCGGTGGCTGCCTGGTGGGGTCTGGGTCCCTGGACTCTGCTGGGTCCCCAGCGGGGGTGGTCGCCCCTGGGTTCCGGGTCATTGGGTCCCGGGCTCGGCCAGCTAGGGGGTGGGAGGCTGCGGGCGGGCCTGTGGGCTTGTCGCCGATATCTCCCGGGACTCTGCCGGCTGCTGGTTGTGGCCCCCCGGGGCGATCCTCTGCGCCTCTCGAGGGGGGCGGGGGCTTTTCTGGTCGCAGTCTCCCTGGAGTTCCTGTGCTCTGGGGCAACTCCTGGATCTCTGGGACTTGGAGCTCCCTCCGTCTCCTGCACATCTTTAGGGGGCAGATCTGTGGCCCCTCACACTCTCTATTGGACGCTCCTATAGAGAAACCTTACACAAACAAGCGCGTGTACACACACAGGTGCTCACATGGTGCTCTCATAAGTATGGACTTGGGCACGTTCAACACAGGTCTTAAGGCTATGGTGGGCACTTAATGCACTGTGATTTATTATCATGTGATTGTTCAGTTAAGCAATGTTGATTATATATTTCTTCATCAAGTTGACACATTGATAACTGGACCTTGTTGTATTGTTGTTGTGTCCCGTTTTTTTTGTTTGTTTTTTTTGCTTTTTTTTCTTCTCTCTTTCTGCAGGTCTAGAAGCAGACTCTTGTTCATTATTGTTTATTTTTGTGGCCCCCCTCCCCCATCTTTTGTCTCTTCCTTTCTCTTTCAACTCTGTCTCTGTGTCTGGTCGGAATTAAAATAATCAATTAAAAAGCATTCAAAAACAACATCAATAAAGTTTTAAGTGTCAGGCGTGACATTAAAAGCAGATGCTTTGATGCTCCACCTGAGAGTAAATCTGTAAGGCTTGTTACCAGCATTCAGACATCAATTCTGTTTGCTTCACAGCCAGACAGGACACACACACACAAAAAAAGCCTTCTTTATAAGCATGCTGAACATCAGAATAAATACTATTGACATGAAAATAATGTTGAATTGGTTTAAATACTACTCCTTCTATCAATTTACCTAGAACTGGTAAGATACTAACTGGTCTACTATTTTTCCCTGTCAACGGTTCTTTTGTATTTTTAGACAAAGGTAGAACTTTTGAGATCTTCCACATATCAGGATAGAGGCATTCACCAAAACATAAATTAAAAATATGACATAGAGGCTCAACTAAAAATTTAGCTACAATCTTTAAAAGTCTTCCATCCATGTTATCAATTCCACAAAGTTTGTTACAATTTATATTTAGCAACATTTTTTCCATTTCATCCTCCTACATACATGTTTAAACAGAAAATGGTGGTCTTTCTCATACATGATTTTATTGTTAATGACGGATTTTGCCAATTGTTCACATCCTCGAGGCATGTCATCCTGAATTACTCTCACCTTGTTATAATAATAATCATTAAAATAACTTGCAATTTCAAAAGGTTTAGTTATGAATGTCCCATCCACTTCAATGAACGACGTTGTTTTATTTGTTTTTGTCATGGTCTGCATCCTGCGTCTCCCTCATGTGTCTCCTTGTGTTCTCCATCCCTCTCTAGGTTTCCTTTATGTGTCTCCTTGTCTGCATCCTTCCTCATGCGCCCCCTTGTGTTACCCCAGCCCACTCCAGGCTCTCCCCTTGGGTTTCTGTGCCCCTTTAGGTCTTCAGCTCCCTCCTGGTTTCCCCTCAGGTTTCCCCTTTTGTGTTTTCAGGATTAGTTATTCCATCCTTGTTAGTGTTTTTCTTCTAATGTCTAGTTTTCAGGTTGATTAGTTCACTTATCTTTAGTTCTCTACAGATTGATTTTACCTAGTCGTTTTCCCCACTCAGTAAAGTAGTTTCACCTGATCCTTTCCGCTCACTCCCCACACACGTCACCTGTTTCCCTGATTATCTCCCTTGTGTATATAACCCTGTCTGCGTCTTAGTGTGTTGTGGGTCCATTGTTTCGTGTCAAACGTTGCCTCCCCTCCCCTCCCCTCCCCTCCCCTCCCCTCCCCTCCCCTCCCCTCCCCTCCCCTCCCCTCCCCTCCTTAGGTCTCTAGGTTTTGGCTTCGTGTCTGTGAAGGTTCTCAGTCATCCAGGTCATTGTAGTCTAAGGAGCTTTGAAAGAAAAGCGTCTGGACTTCTTTGAGTTGCTTGAAGATGTTTCACCTCTCATCCGAGAGGCTTCTTCAGTTCTAAGGTCAAATGGTGGAGAGTCCCAGATTCAAACCCAGTGGGGGTTTCCCCTCGAAGAGGGAACAAAAGACCCCCTGACGATCTTCTACATAAACACACGAGCCAAGGTGTGAGGGTGGGTGTGGGTCCTATTCAGCCAGAGTTTCGGGTGAGCTCATTGTGAAGCCTGGCCCCATCTTCGTGCCTTTCCAGTTCTCTAGGTCTCCAGGTTTATTGGATTTTTGCCTCCTTGGATTTTATTTAGGTTTTTTCCCGTCTTCCTAATAAAGGAATGTTTTTGTTTACATCTACCCCTGCCTCACGTCGTTCTGGGTATCTGCATTTTGGGTCCTACTCCTCCAACCCTCAACGTGACAGTTTTACTTCCACCCATAAGTTCGTTTGTTGTCCTCCATATTTGTTTGCCATTTTTACTATATTTCTGAAATTCCTTTTGATAGTATTGTTTTTTCTTTTGTCTATTTAACCTCTTACCCTATTCCTTAGTACCCGATAATCTTCCCAGTCGCTCAGCCTTCCCGATGTGACAGCCACCCTTTTCTTTTCATCTCTGATTCTCATACTTTGCTGTATTTCATCATCCAACCACGGGGATCTTTTAAGTCTAACAGATACTTTTTTTTATTGGAGCATGTGCATCACATACTCCTGCAAATAACTGGTAGAAGTTGTCCAGAGCTAACTCAGGATGTGTGTTGTAGTACCTCTGCCCACTGTATATTGGCCACACCTCTAAAAAAGTCATCTTCAGAGAAAGATTTATACATTCTTCTTCAAATTACCTTTGGCGCCGCCCTTGGAATTTTTGTTTTTTAAACCAGGGCAATAACATTACGATCACTAAAACCAACAGGACTGATGTACAGGGAGTGCAGAATTATTAGGCAAATGAGTATTTTGTCCACATCATCCTCTTCATGCATGTTGTCTTACTCCAAGCTGTATAGGCTCAAAAGCCTACTACCAATTAAGCATATTAGGTGATGTTCATCTCTGTAATGAGAAGGGGTGTGGTCTAATGACATCAACACCCTATATCAGGTGTGCATAATTATTAGGCAATTTCCTTTCCTTTGGCTAAATGGGTCAAAAGAAGGACTTGACCGGCTCAGAAAGATAAAAAATGGTGAGATATCTTGCAGAGGGATGCAGCAGTCTTAAAATTGCAAAGCTTCTGAAGCGTGATCATCGAACAATCAAGCGTTTCATTCAAAATAGTCAACAGGGTCGCAAGAAGCGTGTGGACAAACCAAGGCGCAAAATAACTGCCCATGAAGTGAGAAAAGTCAAGCGTGCAGCTGCCAAGATGCCACTTGCCACCAGTTTGGCCATATTTCAGAGCTGCAACATCACTGGAGTGCCCAAAACCACAAGGTGTGCAATACTCAGAGACATGGCCAAGGTAAGAAAGGCTGAAAGACGACCACCACTGAACAAGACACACAAGCTGAAACGTCAAGACTGGGCCAAGAAATATCTCAAGACTGATTTTTCTAAGGTTTTATGGACTGATGAAATGAGAGTGAGTCTTGATGGGCCAGATGGACGGGCCCGTGGCTGGATTGGTAAAGGGCAGAGAGCTCCAGTCCGACTCAGACGCCAGCAAGGTGGAGGTGGAGTACTGGTTTGGGCTGGTATCATCAAAGATGAGCTTGTGGGGCCTTTCCGGGTTGAGGATGGAGTCAAGCTCCACTCCCAGTCCTACTGCCAGTTTCTGGAAGACACCTTCTTCAAGCAGTGGTACAGGAAGAAGTCTGCATCTTCAAGAAAAACATGATTTTCATGCAGGACAATGCTCCATCACACGCGTCCAAGTACTCCACAGCGTGGCTGGCAAGAAAGGGTATAAAAGAAGAAAAACTAATGACATGACCTCCTTGTTCACCTGATCTGAACCCCATTGAGAACCTGTGGTCCATCATCAAATGTGAGATTTACAAGGAGGGAAAACAGTACACCTCTCTGAACCGTGTCTGGGAGGCTGTGGTTGCTGCTGCACGCAATGTTGATGGTGAACAGATCAAAACACTGACAGAATCCATGGATGGCAGGCTTTTGAGTGTCCTTGCAAAGAAAGGTGGCTATATTGGTTGCCGATTTGTTTTTGTATGTCAGAAATGTATATTTGGGAATGTGGAGATGTTATATTGGTTTCACTGGTAAAAATACATAATTGAAATGGGTATACATTTGTTTTTTGTTAAGTAGCCTAATAATTATGCACAGTAATAGTCACCTGCACACACAGACATCCCCCTAAAATAGCTAAAACTAAAAACAAACTAAAGACTACTTCCAAAAACATTCAGCTTTGATATTAATGAGTTTTTTGGGTTCATTGAGAACATGGTTGTTGTTCAATAATAAAATTATTCCTCAAAAATACAACTTGCCTAATAGTTCTGCACTCCCTGTAATGTTAAAACATTTTTCAGAACAGTTTGCATAAATGTGATCAATACATGTTGAAGTTGTTAATCCATTTGTCTCGGATAGATTTGTCGTAAATCTTCTACATTATATCTATAGCACAGAAAAAAAAGTTAAAACTCACCTCTTAGTGTGTCTAGCGTTAGCCTTTCCTTTCAAATTCCAAAACTACACATTCATTTCTGCACAACTCTCCTGAACACGGAACAGGAATTCAGAGGGACAGGGGTCTTCTCACCGGGTCAAAGTCCTGCCACACTTCTGGAGACTCTCCGCTTTTATCAGCCAGGAAGAAATCTGGGAAAACAGCACGTGTGGAGAATGACTTCAAACAGGACCACTGACTAAAACGCCTCCACCAGAAAAGGCTGACAGCCGCGTTTCCTGTAAACCGCAAATCCTTTTAGTCCCACAGACTAAAGCAGAATTCTATATTTTTATGTCAAACTGTGATCAGGACTTACCACTGAAATCAGTATTAACGTTACAGCCGCGTTTATCTGTAAACTTCAGCCGTCTACTCTGAAGCACATGTGGCGTGGCTATAAATAGATACCGCTCCAGCAGCAGTGGCTCATTATCACAACCTAAAAGAAAGTTTCATTAATCAGAGTGAAAGAAAACTGTGTTTTTATACTTTTAGGAAGGCTTTTTCACGGATTAATTATGTCACCCAGGAATAATTTGTGGCCCACCTTGCTGAGACTATTAATATGTGTAGTGATCAGTCTACATACTAGAACCAACGCTGTTGCTCTTCAGCTGGAGATTCTGAAAATGACCAGTCAGATGAACCTATGGCTTAGATCGTGTATAAATATCCAGGATACGTATACAATCTAAGTTCATACACCAACCTGTTTAGTCTAATTTTAATCCAAAGATTAATGTTTATTTAAGATAATTAAATGTAAAACAAAAGTTTATTTTGAATCAGAAGCTAGGAATCTTTGCTTTGCAATAACCAGAAATATTATACCCTTCTGTGTTTCAAATCAATACTGAGGCAAGTTTAAAAATGAAGAAATTTTATTACTAACAATTTTAAACTTAAAGATTTGAACGACAATTCATGGATGACAATTTTTAACAGCTTTGATATTAAACTTGTTTTAAAAGCAAACCTGTGGCTGGATGGAAGCTAAATTGGAAATACGAGTTTGGATGCGTGAATGGAATTCTCAGAAGATTTCTTTCAGAGAGAGAAAATAAGCGTTCTGGATGGAAATGATGTTTTGCGCTACCTGAGTTGTCACTTAGAGAAAACAGCATCAAACGTCATCTGTCGAAAGTGTCTACCTCGCCCAGTTTCGGAGACCCCCTTTTTGGATCCGAGATGTCAGGTGGAGATGATTTTCTCTGGGCACGAGGATGGTAGAAGGACCTCGATGCGACCAAATCAGTCCTGGGTTGTCTCCGTGGGTCACACGACTGATGAAACTCTTGGCTTCTCAAAGTCCTACACCTCGAACCAACCCATAATCTATTTAGTCAAACCTAAACTAAACTAAAACGCTAAAATTAGGAGATATTATTAAAGTAAAAGTCTTAGAGATTCTTCATAAAGTAGTTAATAATAATATCCCAAATTGCATAAAAGTTGATTTCAAACCAAGAGATGATCATTATAATCTCAGAGGTGTATTTATGTTTGAATGTGTAAAAGCCAGAACTAATGTGAAACCAAGATGTGTTTCCGTTGTTGGTGTGAAATTGTGGAATGAGTTAGATCAGTGGTTGCCAACCTTTTTCCCAAGGGAGCCCGTTTTTTACCAGTAAAATTTTTGACGACCCCCTCCCATTCTCTCTTCCAGTACAAACATTATTAAGAAATGATAAAATTGTTCAAGCACATTTTAATATGCTTTGATTCAATAGATAACAGTAATAGTAGGCTCCAGTACAGAACAAAGTCATTAACAAAACCAAACAGAGCATAATGTGCTTGACAGTTTGTATTACCTTTCTGAACACATTGTTTCTTGTAAACACTGATAAATCAATCATTCCTTTCAATAAACGTTTGACACATAAAAAATACACTGAACAAAATGTACTTAAGTGTGTATATTACTGTTTATACTAGATTATTTACTGTAAAGGCTGTGATTAATCAACCAGTCCCATCTTTAATGAACTTTTGACACTTGAAAATTAAACAGTGAGCTGAGCAAAATGTTCTTAAAAGTGTGTTACTCTTTCTGTACTAATTATTTCCTGTCTTAATATCAGTAAACTTTTCACTCATGAAAAAAAATGTGAGCAAAATGTAGGCTATATACAAGTAATGAATGAAGTTTTAACCCCTTGAAGTGGAGAGGTCCTGGCGACCCACTGAGAGGCTTTGGCGCCCCCTTGTGGGGGTCGGGACCCCCAGATTAGGAACCACTGAGTTAGATGATGATTTGAAGAAATGTACTTCTTTACTAAAGTTTAAAGCAGGTGTAAAGTGTCACATATTTACAGGGTATGAAAAGTATGTATAGACATTAATGAATTTTCATTGTGGTTATTTATATTGGGGAAAATAAAAGAAATGTATATTGGTTATGTATCTTAGGGGGAAAATAGGGTAGGCTAAAATAAGCATTGCTTCTGCCTATTCCTGTTTTGGTTTAAATTCAAGTTGTTAATATTGTTGTTTTGTTTGAAAAGGAAAATTTTATGTTAATGCTATAAACCAAAATAAAGACCGAAAGAAAGAAAGAAGTCCGTAACTCTGAAGGAGTTTTTGCATTTTAACTTAAAGAGCAAGTCACCCCTACCAGAGTCTAACTCCACTCCCACTTCATGTTTGACAAATGCAACAAATGCTGTTGCCTGGCAGACCGAGAAGGCGGAGCTGCTAACAAATACACACACACAGGCTCACGACAGCATTGTGACATCATAATGTAACAGTTTACATCATAGCATACCTCTTAGCCAATGGCGGTGGCAGATTTAAATTAAAATACAGTGCAGAGTTTTTACCTGATAACGGCACAGCACTGCCAGTTTTAGGCAGAATATTTAAATTTTAACTAAGATGTCCTGAAGTGCCAAATTATTGACTACACGTGTCTGCAGCACGATTAGACACTCGTTTATTTAGTTTATCAGCAAAAAAAAGTTTATTTGGGGGTGACTTGCTCTTTAACTCAGAAGATCAATAACTCTGGGAAGAGTTGTTTTTGTCAGCTGGTTACAGTTTCGTTTATTCTTAGCTATTCTTGTCGGCGTGACAGAACAGCAGGTGGAGGTTCAGGGACGGCCGTTCCCTCATCCTCTGTGATGGTGTTGGTTCAAGAACTGACTTGAAGCTGGTGATGGTTAGTTTACAAAGCTCTCAGAACACGCCCACTCTCTCAGGAAGAAAGCTTGGTCATGTGTCAAAAACATGTGTTGGCAGTTATTGTTTAGATGAGACCTGTGTTAGATGGATAAGATGAAAGTGACCCACTTTGCTGAATCAGACATTACTGTCAACAATCATAATCATAATTAATCATTACTATACCCAAAGCATAATAATTCATTTCATGTAATTATATACCTTTATACTGAACCAAGTGATCATTTATGATGATTATAATAAACAGTAATAAAATCAAAGAGTTTTATTAATTTTATTATCTAATTATTATCTTGAACTTGAAGTGTCCTCCTTCTGGGACGGAACAGCATCAGATAGTGGATGAGATTCCGCAGACATCATGACTCCTTGGTTAATCTGTGGATTTAAAAGTACTGTTTGACCCAGCTTGACCCAGCTGGGTAAATGTGACCTTTGCCACAAATTAGAGGACCTTCATCATGCTACATACACACCGATGTTTTGTGAAAACTGAGTCTAAATTTAAGTGTGGAAGGAAAACATGTGAAAGCATTTATCTGAAGTTGAAAAAAGATGCCAAGACAAATACTTTCATGTTACTGAGAACACTTTCTTTTGTGCAAAATATTATGAAACATATTGGAATATATATATATATATATATATATATATATATATATATATATATATATATATATATATATATATATATATATATATATATATATATATATATATTTTATTATCATCAGTCCCTTTGAGTTTTTCATGCAGGCCGAACATGAAAATAGCCTCCTACACCTCTACGTATCTCCTGCATTAACGTCTGATAGAAAATAGACAGTGAAACTCTAGAATTTGAAAATCCTCACAGATCTATGTCACACGGAATTAGCGTTCATGGACTCACCTTGACTGACGATGTCTGTCTTTGTGTTAGTGTCCGGGAATCAGCAGTAGGCGTCTTGGCTAATTTAAGCTAACCGTTAGCATTAGCAACTTCACCACACGGCAGAAACTCCTTCAGGCTTGTGTTATTTGTGGAGATAAAACATCAGCGTTGCAAGTCAGCAGTAGAGCCATATTTCTGTTATCCAATCCGGAGCGAGATGTCTAAATATCAGGAAGTAAGACTCCAAAACCTGTTGTCTGAAACTTGGGCCCAATCCCAATACTTGCACTGTGCTCTATGGTCTTCTGTGAAGTGCACTTGGAGGACATGTGCAGTAAGGCTACGAGTGTGTAGTACTACAAGTGTGCAAATAATTGTCAAAATGGGACTGGGAGTATTGCCTCATCGACTGCAACGTATGCCAGGATGCTGGTTGTTGTGCTACTTAAAGAAACACCTTTATTAATAACTTTCAAATTAACAACCAAATAATTATTTGAAATTATTTTACATTCATTGCCACTTTGCCTAAAACATTCAGAGCATCAACTAATCGTCCTAAAATGAGTTACTTTCATTTGAAAATACACATTTTCAGAAAAGGCACTTGAGCCTTTTCTCCTGCAGCAATGGATTGTGCAAATCAAGGGTGCAAAAGGGGCGTGGTCAATCTGGACACCCTACACACTCACACCCGTGGCCGGGATCGCACGATTGACAGGCTCAACTGTAGAAGTGAGTATTGGGATTGGGCCTTCGCTGTGATCAACTTTTAGGTCAGAGAAATGATGAATCGTATACCTCACCCCCAATATTTACCTTTAAAAAATCTTTTCTTACAAATTTGCCCCCAACAGCGCAGTTGGCCCCGGCCTGCCCGCCCCAACATTATTCTAGGTTCTACCCTGTTTGCGATATGAATGTAACAGTCAGAAAAAAAGAAAATCCTACTTAAATAGGTAAAGATAAAACTCTTTTTACTTTATTTTTATGTCTGTGTGTTTGATCGGTTTTAAAAAGGACAGCCCCTTCGCCCACCTGCTGCCATAGACATGTAAAAATCAGCACTTGGAAGGCGCACTATTAAAATGAAAAGGTCAATTAAAGCTACTAGCAACCCTCTGATCTCCTCCCTGTGAGAATGTGGTAATTGGGGCCAAGGTTTAAGATGAACAATTAAGGCCTTGCTCAATAACGTGTTTGTGTCCCGGCGTCTAACAAGCTGCTTTTCTCCCGGCGCACAATGAAGACACGCGCCCACACTTCCATCGCTTGACTTTTCAGATAATTGGTGCTTCGTTACTGAACATCTCATCATGTCATCAGTTTGCCGACGCAGATTCCTTTCATTCTGCTGGAGAAAAGGGAGTTTAGACGTTTTTTTTTACTTAACCTGCACACAAACACACAGAATTTATGACCACTCCTCCATTTGGAGCAAATCTAGTCTGTCTTTAATGCAGCTGGTTGCAAGAAACTAAGGTACACAGCAGCACAAAGGTAAGAGGGTTTTATTATATTTCAAAAGTAACATTTACTATTAGAAAATAATTTAAATGAGTTTTCTTTAGTGGTAGTCATAAAAAATGTATTAATTTGATTCATAAAGAAAAAGTCTAATATGTAGAAACAAATGGAGATCAGAATGCATGATTACTAATCTTCATTTTTAGACACTGATCTAGATTTAACGATTACTACTCAGTTAAACTTTCAAAATACAGTGTTGATGAAAACATGGCAACTTAACAGTAAACAACTGATTTTACATTTATCTCTAGTGGTCATTCTTTAGAAGAGGTTAATAAGAAAGGACCCGGTCTGTGATGATGGCAAGGAGAAGGAGGTCCCAGCTCATGTGTGGTAGACCCCTCATTTGCCAACTCCATGGCTAAGGTCTCCCTGAATGCCTTCTGGCCCAAGGAGACATCACCTTTGCTCCTGGCAAGCTCTTTGTGCAGGCGATGTCCATGAAGTGGTAGAAGAAAGTCCCGTACCACCTCTGTGTTTTGTGCAGGACCTTGTATCCTATCAGAGCATCTGACAGGTCGACTCCCCCCGTACCTACAAAGACAGGAAACCACATCAAAATATGTCCAACAATAGTCAATTTCAACCAGCTAAAGAACTCTCGTGTATACGGTGCTGACCGGTTGTACTCCTTCACTGCTGGTGGAACTGGGATATCCCTCTGTGCCCACTGCCCATCTGCTCCTTTGACCCTCCGCTGGACCGCGTCCCCTCCGTGAGCTGTGTGCAGGGTGGAGCAAAGAAAAACATCTACGATGTCCATCCACTGGACAAACAAGATGGAGTCTTTCCTCCGCCACCGCATACCTCCTGGTGGCAAATTGGAGTCCAGATAGCCGGTCCTGTAGGCTTTGATGGTCCCATGTGCCCAGGTCATTTTTTTGGGGCCGGTCACAGAAAAGCATTGGACTGGTGTGAAAATCGTCCACAAAATTTGATTTTACCCAAGCGACCACAAGCTGGTGTCCCCCTTTTCTGATCATTAGCAGCATCGTCTGCCATACTGCTACGGTGCAGGGATCGGCGTGTCAGGCGGACCCTTCTACAGCTCATCACCGACATTGGAAAGGGAAGTCTGCACAGTTTGGGCTTTTTCCAATAATCGTTAAATGAGGAGCACTTCACAGATCCCTTGTATACGATCATCAAAGACATGAAACCGAGCATCTCTTTTAAAGACACGTCGTTCCACGGGGCAGCTGGTGTGGACGTGTTTGGCTGCAAACTCGTTTGTGTTCCGAGTTATTGTCTGCAGCGTGGCGGTAATGAAGAAACGCTGGAAATGCTGCAGTGGTGTGTAAGGTGTTGTGGAAATTAGCTGGGGCCGTGTGTGTGTGTGTGGGGGGGGGGTGGGTGTAATGTCCTCAACTTCTGTGTCATTCCAGAAAAACTGTCTGGACCACTCCTGGCTCTCCCCCTTCCTCTTCTTCTACCTTGTTCACGTGCTTCTCTTTAGTCCGGGTCTCACACGTGAGGTGGTGGATCTTCTTTGTTCACAAACCCCAGTCCTCATCCGAATCCTCTTCACAAGAGCTAGAATGTAGAAGTGTGCAGAATCAACCCATCACCTATCTACATTAGAGCAACATAAGTCTATGTAGAGCCTACTGACAGAAGACCTCTCCAGAGCAAACGAATGAGACATCACTGTCCTCTGAGACAGAATCATCTCTTCTGGAACATTTATCATCCACTTTCTCCTTGCTGTGGTTTCTTTTGGATGTTCGTGTTGCCATTTTGTTGATAGACTCGTGCGTTACTGCGTGTAATTATCCAAACACCCTTTCCTAGCGAGCGTGGCTTCGCGCGGAGTTCATACAACCCCTCAGGTGAGACGTCCTCGTTCAGAATTTCGAGCGCTATTTTATGTGCCAATCACCCGAATAGAGCGCTGCAATTGGCTCGAGCTACACACATGACAATTAAGCAGAGGAGGGACCAGGGACCTTTCATTTATTGGATCAGGAAACAGGTCAATCAAACGCTTACACATTTTTTTCCCCTCCAAGAACTTTATTGAACAAAAATCATTTTTACACACTAAACAACCAGTTTCTAATTGTTGAAACTCACGCAGAACTTGACTTATTTGAATTGTTTTGAGAGACTTTTTGGTGGTAGTCTGATTTTATGTGTGGTTCCACATCCATTAGAAAATGAATAAAATATGGTTTTAATATGAATTTTATACATATGAATATAACATGTAGTCAGAAGAATTAACAAACTAAGCTGCTAAAATAAAATAAAAAACTGCTAAACTCCTTCAAAACCTTTGTGTGAAAGAAAACAACCAAAACATATGTCTCATTTCCACAAACTGCAATTAATAATTATGTCTCTGTTAAACTTGACCATTTAGAGTTTAGTAGGGTAAACTTTATTATAGACGTGTATAGGACTGGATTTGGCAGGTTTTTGATGAAGGTACTAATCCTTATCTTCCATCTGGAAGCTCAAAAGCCCAAAGCGATTGGATGCCTATTTGCAACAGTGGTCCTCAAGTTATTTTCTTCCCCTTTGGAAATGCAAAAGCTTGTTAAAATTACCCCAATCCCCATTTCTGAAAGAAAGAAAGAAAGAAAGAAAGAAAGAACGGAAGCCCTGAAAGTCAAAAAGAATCAGAAAGTTGAGCAGCTAGAAATATATTTTTGCTATCTTCTCAGGTCTTCGGTAAATCCATCTTTAGCACTTGACTTGATGTCTTCATGGTCCTTTAGACGTATTTCCCAGCCATGAGACCATCCATGTCTGTGCTGGAGCCTGGGTTGGAGCGAGGCGTCCCCTGGGGTCGTGACCTCTACACCTTTGTGACTTCAGCTGCAGGTCATATGATGAGAACCCTTCAGAAACCCCGCAAGAGCCGACCGTCCAAACGACAGGTCAACCACCGTCGCTTCCTCCACAACATGATTCAGAGGTGTGTTTTAGGGGCTGCATCAGATAACACTGACCTGAAAATAGTGTTATTGTTTCCATTGAATCCAACAGAACATTCACAGAAGAAGTCTTATAATAAAAGTAAAGTGGAAAATGTTGTCACATGACAACAAATTTAGTTTTTATAAAAATGACCTAAACCACACAAATAAAGAGAAATCTAAAGATTAAAAGCTAATTACGCCTTGACTTCTTGGAAATATGGTACTTTTTTGACAAAAAACAAATCCCAGTACCTATTTTTTATCACAATTAAAGGTGTGGAACATTGAAAACAATTTTTTTAATGATTATTTCTGATTCTAACGGGTCACTCTGAGGGTTTCATGCCGGCTGAACATGAATATAGTCTCCTACACCTATCTCCTACATTTACTTCTGATAGAAAACAGATGGTGAAACTCTAGGATTAGAAAAGCCTGACAGTCACTTACATTCATGGACTCACCCATCTTGACTCACGACGGGGAAGGCTGTTGTAGCTTCCAGGAAACAGCAGAGAAAGTCTCAGCTAGCAAAGGCTAACCGTTAGCATTAGCAACTCCACCATCCAGCAGAGGCTCCTTCAGGCTTGTGTTATTTGTGGAAAAAACACCAGCAGAGCAATAGTTAGTGGTAGTCGTGTTGCTGTCATACCAATCCAAGGCAAGATGTTCAGATATCAGGAAATAACATTAAATCCTGCCGTCTGTTGTCACTCTGCTGCAGCAGACTTGTTTGTGCTGATCCAGGTGCTTCTGGGCTTTTTTGCCCCCCCCCCCCCCCCCCCCGAGTACGACTTGCAAGGCATTCATTCCTACCGAAGACCACTGCAAATGTATTGATTAAACGAGTGTTCAACACCTTTAAATGATTTAGCCGTTTACTTTGGGTGTATAATATTTCTCTAGGTGATTTTGAGTTAGCCAATCTAGCAGGTGGTTAGCTCAATATGCTATACATAGATGGTAGCCATTAGCATCCCACATCCTGCGAAAAACAAACAAAAAAAGGCTTCTAAAGTATTCCTCGTGTAAAAGAAATGCATTCCTTTTTTCACATTGATCTGTTTTCATTCACAGAAAATTTGCCGACATAGAAGCAGCAAACCACCGGCTAGCATCTGCGATTTATTCTAAAGCGGGAGAAAAGAGCACACCCTCTTTGTTATCCCACAAGCAAGAGTCTCCAGGAAACCCACCTCAAGGTGACTCGCTGCAAGATGCTGAAAAGTACAGCGTTCCAACAGATACTGACGGTGTTTTAAGCTCAAGTAGTGCTGCTGACACACATGAAGCCGATGCCAGGGAAAAGCAGCAACCAGATTCCAGACACCACTGGCAGAGTCCCCACAAATTCACCTGCGCCACCAGAATGAGCCACCAGAGCAAAGGCACTCACACACTGGATGAATTTCCCGTAGCGAACTCCTCCCAGAATAAACAATTTTTTCATTCTGAATGCCAGTTAAAACCAACTAGTAACCTCACAGAAGACTCTCAAGCATCTCCGAACAACTCCAGCTCCATTCTGGCAACCCAAAACGAAAACGACTCTCCTGTCTCTTCAGATTTCTCTCCATTGTCTTTTGACTCGTGTGATTTCTCAATTCATATGATCTCATCTTGCGCAGAGGCTGAGAAAAAAACCATCACAGAGGGTCATGACCTTTACAGTCCTGGGAACTTTTACTCTGAAGGGTGCGTAGATGTGCAGGACTACTTTGAAAGTATTTGTTCATGCCAAGATGATGCTAGACTGGACGTCTGTGCAAATAATATTTTAGTTTCAGACCCACCGGATCACTTCACCGCGGGCGAGGACGTGTTCTCCGAGGTAGGCGAGTACAACTATGAATACGGCTGTCAAGAGAATCAGGAAGTGATGCCAAACTTCTTCCGGGATAACCAGAGGAGCTCTCACACGCAAAGTGAATTAACCCAACACCAAAGTTCAGTCATGAATCCGAGTCCTGTCTCACCCTCCATCAGCTGCAGCCACAACGTCACTCAGCTGCAAACTCACCAGCGTTTCAAGGAGGGGGATCCACACATTCTGGTGAATAACATCAATATAACGCCCTTTGAAGGTGTTGCCCAGTCATTCGCCGCTCCTCCTCCTCATCACATTCACCGGTCCATACCAACACCACCTCGGGAGGAAGACTGGCTGTTCACTGACATCTTAAAGGACAGACAGTCCTCTTATTAGGAACATACTGTTTGTTTCATATTTTATTGTTGGGATTATAAAACTTTGCTCATCAGCATGCAAAAAAAAAAAAAAAGAACAAGCATTGTTTAAGCCTTCTGAAATTGAATCTCTGGAATGATATAAATCCAACGTGTTTTTACTTATAAACATCTTAAGAGGTGTGATGGCCACATCCATGTCCACACAACAGTGAACGTTAGTACACTCATGCACTTTCATGATTTCAATTTGTACGTTTATATTTCTTAGGATTTATTGGGGGTGTCAAAAATGCGGCCCATGGGCCGGAACCGGCCCGCAAGTGGGTTAAATCCGGCCCGCGAGATGGTTGTGTAAACTTTATTTTCATACTTTACAATGTAGAGTGAAAATAAACTTATCTTTGTGAGCAAGTTTTCTCTGTAACGAGTATAAATGAAACAAAGCTGCGCTCAAGGCTCACACAAGAACTTGAATCACATCCTGAAGTTGGCTGCCACTCAGGATGTGACTTCTGATATTGATGTGCTGGTGAAAGCTAAAAGATGTAAAGTAAAATTAGTCAAATATACTTGAAGTGCTGCATGAAACTGATCTAGCCATGTGATCTGTAAGCTCTTTGAATCACTAAGGAATGTTTTTTTTCTCAAATTTTCAAGTACACTTCAGGTGTTGTACTTGTACTATTTTGGATACACTGTCCTCAGGCTCCAGCTTTGTTTTATATTGATTGTATTAAAACAAAGGAAACAATCTGAAGTTGTTTTTAATTTACCGGTCCGGCCCACTTGGGACTAGATTTCCCTCAATGTGGTCCCTGAGCTAAAATGAGTTTGACACCCCTGGTTTAGACGGCTTAAATGCATTAGTTCTGATTGTAAGCGCACACATTTAGTTAAATGCTGTATTTTATGCCTGTCATTTGTTCAATTTAAGTTCATTTATGTTTTCTCTTACCGGTGCTGAGAGGTTCTCCACTTGCTGCTTCCTGAGATGGGACAGGCAAACACTGGTGAAGGGGTTCTGTCAGCTAAATACAGGAGGAGCTGATGGGGCCAAACCAATAGCTCCACGAAGAGGGGACTGAAGGATTTCCTTTAGTTTATTATTTTGTCATTTGTTAATTAATTTAAGTTTGAAGTTAAATAGTTAGGTTTAGGGGTTGGGGTGTTTAGGTTTATCAACAATCTGACTGTACTGATTTGTGGTTTTAGTTTTATTTAGTAAATGTTTGTCTAGTAATCCCTATTGTTCATATGGTCTGATCAGCCAGTGTGTATATATACCCTTGTGTGTCTGTGTTTGTTAGGCCGGTTATGGTTTCAGTCAGTCAGCATGTTAAGTTAGCAGTTTATTGAGTTTCAGTTTGTTTGTTTGACCTCTTTTATGAGCTCGAGCTGTTTTTGTGAGGAAATTTCAAAAGAAAAGGAAATTAAAGAGCCTCTATTGCTGGAGATTTCCTGTGTTCCTCCACTCATTTGGCTTGATCCCTCACAGGAGGCTTTTTCTTTTAGTTTAGAGCTAAATGAGCTGATTCTGAGAGTCTAAACAGCTGATCACGCAGCTGCTAGATTCCTCACACGTACTGACAGGCGCCAGCATATAACACCAGTTCTCAAATCCCTTCATTGGTTGCCCATCACTTTCAGGGTCCAATGTTGTTTTTTGTTTTCAAATCCCTCCATGGTCTTGCCCCCGTGTACCTCTCTGATCTTCTTGCGATTTATACTCCCGGTCGCACACTCAGGTCCTCCAGCCTGTTGCTCCTCGACGTCCCAAAAGCGTGTTATAAATCATGCGGACAAAGAGCTTTCTCTGTTGCCGGTCCTAAAATGTGGAACGAACTTCCAGCCGCAGTTCGACTGGCATCCACCTTGGCAGTTTTTAAGTCTAGACTGAAGACACACTATTTTACCCTTGCTTTTAACAGTTAGCTGTTATTTTGGTTTTTACTACTCTTATTTTATCAACCATTGTAAGGTTTTTATCGGTACTTTTTTATTGGCTTGTTTCTTATTTGTTGACTGTATTTTACTGCTCTGTTTTGTGTTTTTATCTGTTATTTGTGTGACTGTTCAGCACTTTGGTCGGTGTTTTTAAAGTGCTATATAAATAAAGGTGGTATGGTATGGCATGATCAGACTGGCGTATCACATGTGCATCTTTATATTTCTAGATCTCAGCGGTGTTTTTGGTAAAGTTTAAGGAGCAAGTGAAGGAATAAATGAGTTTGTGGCGTTATGTCAGCTTTCCAAGGAGTGAACTTCAGTTCTCTTAAGGAAATTTCAGAAAAGTTGAGTTAGCATCAAACAGCAGAGCAGCTGTAGTTTTTAAACATGGTAGGCTTCAAAGTTTTTTTATTACTTTAATATGCATCTGAACATTTTGCAATAATTTACCCTATTTTTCATTGAGGACAATATAATCCACAAAATATTCAATTACATTTTTAGCGCTTTTATTTGTGATCGACACAATTATTTAAAATGTGGATTTGTGTATTTTTTATATGAAATGTCTGTACTGAACGTGATGTCTTGAAGCCATATTGTGAATAAAATACAAATTCTGTATCATTTGCATTTTGTGTCTCTAAAACACCCAAACCTGCAAAACAAAACACTCAAAGATCAAAAGCAGCAACATGTGTTAAAGTCAACCCCAGTCAGATGTTTAATAATTACAACATTATCAACAAAAAAGGCTAAAATTATAAAACACATTTCCAAAATGTTTCAAGTTCCACAGAATCCATCAACAAACACTTTGATAAACAGAAAAAAATAAAACAAATTCCCTCAAGAGAAGCGCCGGCTTCGTTTCTCTTGCTACAGGTAAACAGAACTCTTCCGCTCTCGCTCCGGCGGACTTCCGAACCAAACCGCCATCTCTCAGGTGTCATTTTGTCTCTTTAGGATTCCTGCTCGTTTAGCTTTGTCCTCTTTAGAAACCCGACAAAGCTGCAGAGGTGAACCGATATTGCTGGGCGGCTTTTGTCTCAACCAGCGGTGTGTAAAGTGCAGCTTTCACACAACATTGAAAAAAAAAAAACAAACAAACTTGCATATTGCTAAAGAAAAACATACAGAAACCAAACGTTAAAAAAACTAGTAGTTGGATTCTCGTGTCACTGTGGATCTGACCTGGCAGAGAAACCACAAACACACAGAAGCGGAGTACCACACACACTCTTTCAGTGTCGGATCAGCCCGACGAGACGGCATGGAGACCCTGATTACCGAACACAACTGCGCGAGTTACTAAACACGGATCCTTTCTAAACCGAGCGGCTTTTTCAGAGCATTCCGACACAATCTTTACTTCCTGCTGAAAGTTAGTAACATTCAGCTGTTTTCTTCCAAACTATGGCGCGGTATGGGGGCCAAAATTAAGACTACTGCCCAGCAGCAGGAGGCTATATGAATTCTGAAGCAAACTACCGACCTGATTAATGATAAGCTGGCACCAGTAACTGAGAGGCTGGCGCTGCTTACTGAGAAATAGCACTTTTACCGGCGTTACTAATAGGTATGCTAGGGACTAGCAGCCCTCGGCTGGTCATTGACTGGTTCACACACGCCCTCTGCTGTCTATTAGCATGGATAGGCTAGCGTTAGCCAGGACGGGCTGGTGTTAGCATTGGAGAGGCTAGCCATTAGCGTGCCTATGCTGGCCACTAGCTGGATTTCCTACCCCCTTGACGGACCATTAGCATGGATAGGCCGACGTTAGCATCGGAGAGGCTAGCCATTAGCGTGCCTAGGCTGGCCACTAGCTGACTAGTGACTCTCCGAGACAGGCTAATGGCTAGCCACTCCTATGCTAATGCCAGCCTATCCATGCTTAAGGTCCGTCAAGGGCGTAGAAAATCCAGCTAGTGGAATGCCTAGGCACGCTAATGGCTAGCCTCTCCGATGCTAATGCAAGCCTATCCATGCTAATGGTCCATCGAGGAGGTAGGAAATCCATCTAGTGGCCAGCCTAGGCACGCTAATGGCAAGCCTCTCCAATGCTAACACCAGCCCGTCCAGGCTAACGTTAGCCTATCCATGCTAATAGACAGCAGAGGGAGTGTGTGAACCAGTCAATGACCAGCCGAGGGCTGCTAGTCCCTAGCGTATCTATTAGTAATGCCGGTAAAAGTGCTATTTCTCAGTAAGCAGCGCCAGCCTCTCAGTTACCGGCGCCAGCTTATCATTAATCAGATCAGTAGTTTGCTTTGGAATTTATGTAGCCTCCTGCTGCTGGGCAGTAGTCTTAATTTTGGCCCCCATACCGCGCCATACCAAACAGATGAGTCAGCGCTCCTAGCCAAAAGTAAAAATACCTCCAACAGTACGGGTCCGAATGATAAAACTATGGCAATATTCCATTTTTAGTTTGATTTCAAAACACAGAAGTTTTTTTTAACTTGCTGACTGTTTTGTTTGCCGACTGCAGTCGGCAAACAAAACAGTCAGCAAGGTAAAAAAAACTTCTGTTTTTTAAAAAATAACTAAAAATGGAATTAGAAACTGAACACAGTAAGAGCATACCAAAGATCTGGCAATATTATTGTATTAATTGTGCAAAAAAAGGAAAGAAATGTACTTTTATGTCCAAGAAGATTTCTCAGTAATTGGTCTGGTTCCCAACTTTCCTTTAAGACTCTTAAAAACAAACATTTTTTTTTAAAGTTTGCTCAGAATAAAGCAGGATGTGAGACGGCAGGTTTTGGAGATGACGATCAGCAGTTTAAGAGCTACCTCACCGTCGGTTAAAAGTTCGATATTTTGAGTTTTATGTCTGCGGACGCGCTCTACGAAACAAAGTGTTGAATTTACGTAACGGAGTAACGTCAACTGGTTCCAGCTGCTTCAAAGTAAAGCGTAATATAGATCTACTTTTTAATATAATGACGTTAACTCTTCACATTTAAGCAACTAGCTTCGGCGGAACCGGCTGATGCGACTTGGTTGAGTAAATTCAACAGTTTATTTTTTATAGTGCACGATGATACTTTGGTAGAAATTAATCGATAAAAGACAGAAAAAGAGAAGGAGACAAAACGCGTACTAAGAAAGTCAAGAACATTCCAACCAGGTTTCACAGGAGGGTGATCCAAGTGTCTGGTCACCCAGACCTTCAGCTCATTTTAAGCTCAAACGTATAAAAAAAAAAAAGAGAAGTTTGCTCCTGCTGACATTAGCTTAATAAAAATGCATCCATCAGTGACACCTTTATCATTTTTTAATCTAACATTTAAACATTACGAGCACAGAGCTCAGTTATCCTACGGTCTACACAATAGTGAGCAGAGATGACGTCACTCGGATAATCCATCACATTCACCGGATAATAACCGGAAACCCGACGAGCCTCTGCTCCCTTCATCTGCTCTGTTCTACTGCTACTCTACGTTTACGAGTCCCTTTTCTCATCCGTACACCCACCGTTTGGTTAAACGCAACCGCCCCCGTTGGATCAATAATTTATGCAATCAGTGCAGTGAAATTAAAATTACAGTGAACTAAATGCAACACGAAAGGAAATGTGTGCATCAGCGCAAAAAAAGGAACGTAAATCTGCTTTGGATGAAAAATTAATTAATACAACTCTCTGTGGGATGTTTCTAGTTATCTAGAAAAGTGTTTGATTTTTATTTTTTTATTTATAACAGGGACTCGAACCCCCCAAAAATCATTCATGCAACTTCCCCTCTGAGGCCTGATGCTGTAAAATCGAAGCTTTCCTTGAACGCAACATCATAACCAGGTTCACATGCTTTCCCCCGCGAGGCCGAGTCATCAATAACTTAGGTTCATGTTTGATATAAATTATACAAACTTTATGAAGTGATATGTAAAGGATTAAGTTAAAGAAACTATCCCTAACATCTGCATCGTCTACAACAAACTCGCTCCAATCTAAAAAAAACAGCATTTATTATTTGATGCAGCCGTAATATCGAGTGGGTCTGAAATATTCTGCTTTCTAAAATCAGTTTTTTCTCATTTAGCTGAAACCAGTGGTATAAAAATTAGAATTATAACGCATCCCATGTTATTTATCCGTTATTTAAATACAGGTTTGCTCAAATATTGCTCAAGAGCTGCAATTAGTTTTATGCTAACTCAGAAAATGTGCACCACTTAGTTCATAATCATTTTTCCAAACATTCCTCTAAATTTGATGTTTTGAAAAAGTGATGAGACACACTTTTGTTCCTGGTGGTTATTTTGTGTAATAATCACTAGATTGTCCTGTTCACTCCAAACAGCCCTTTGTGTTCACATGAGAGGGTTAAACATAGCTTAGTTTGGAAATATTTCATGGACTCTGCTCTGTGGGCGCCACGCAGCTTTGTGATACCAACTAATATCAACTCTTTTTCCCTCTAGAGCATAAAGACGTTTAGTTTATTCGTCATCATTAAAGAGATGTAATGTAAAACGATCAGTCTTTGTCAAACTGCTAAATAAAATCAATCCTTGCTTTGTAACGTCGAATTTCATGTTTTCTGTGTTTCTTGGGGGAATTGTTCAAAGTCTCCAGGAGGTTGTTTCATTGTTATAGCACCTGTTGAATCTGTTTTCTAGGACTTTTTTCAGTTTGGAACGAGCGTTGTGGTGTGTGCGTCGCTCCTTCACCCCTCCAGCCAGCTTCACTCGGTGCTGTTGACGCTGTAGGGAGGCGGAGGGTCCAGGCTTTGTTCTGAGGACGGAGTCAGGTTCTGCGAGAGTCCAGAGGTGGGGGTGGGGGAAGCAGGGGGGTCCTCTGAGTCAGAGTTCTCCAGTGAGAAGTCGTCGACGAAGGCTCTCCGTCCGCGCATCGCCAGAGGCAACGGAGCGCGCCTAGACGAGAAGGATAGGGTTACAACGAGCTGAGAGCAGAAGGAAGTAAACAGACGGGTGGGCTCACATTTATGTGAAACATCAGCAAATGTGTCAAATGTGAGAAAAGAACTATTTTTTTCCTCTACGAGTCCTTAATTACACTGAAAAACGAATCCTGTCACAAGTTCATATTTTCCTGTTAATCCAAAACACACCTCGCTTTACATCTTAGTTAAGAAACATTCTGTTTGGACATCTTTATAATAATATGAGTTTTAGTCGTGTGATTATTCAGTCATATTCCTGCATTATTATTATTATTATTATTATTAGGGATGTGAATCTTAGAGCAACTCACAATTTGATTCGATTCCGATTCTTGGGGTGCCGATTCGATTCAGAATCGATTCTCAATTTAAATCGATTCACAATCAGTATTAACAAAGAGTGTTGGCTCCAGGATGAACTACTTTGTTGTACAAGTTATTTAAAGCAAGGGGACGTTTTTATTAGACTTTAAACTGGTCGTGCTCCAAAAATGCTAATTTACAATGTAAAATAAAGTGATTCTAAAACTGTAAACAGAAGCAATCTTTTGACCAAAAGGAAACATTTATTTTTGCTTACCTTGTAAAATATAACAAATCTGTAGTTACCCAACAGTAGCTTTGAAAGTAATACGGTCAAATACTTTTCAAGTATGTGTGGAAACAAGTTACATGAGTAATCCTGAGTACTCATTTATCAACTTAGAAAATAAATATGAGAATATCTCAAATTTCTGAGTATGGAAAAAATGACATTCAAGCGCCCTCTTATCAGCAGATTCAAACATAAATCATCTCAATTTATGGGACCACAAAAGTAAACGGAGTACTGACTCTCCTAACAAAGATAAAAAAGTGCATCTCAAACATGTAACGTGCCAAATATTTGATTCGATTCTGAATCTTTATAAATAAGAATCCCGATTCAGACTTTAATCAATTTTTTTCAGCACCTCTAATTATTATTATTATTATTATTATTATTATTATTATTATTATTATAGCCAACAGATGACAGTCGTCTCTGAGTCCTGCTCCTCCTATTAAGTGTTTTTTTCACACCTCTTAACGTTTTAACATTGTCATCGTCATCTTCCTCCGCTTATCCGGGTCCGGGTCGTGGGGGCAGCATCCCAACTAGGGAGCTCCAGACCGTCCTCTCCCCGGCCACCTCCACCAGCTCCTCCGGCAGGACCCCAAGGCGTTCCCGGACCAGATTGGAGATGTAACCTCTCCAACGTGTCCTGGGTCGACCCGGGGGCCTCCTGCCGGCAGGACATGCCCGAAACACCTCCCCAGGGAGGCGTCCAGGAGGCATCCTGACCAGATGCCCAAACCACCTCAACTGACTTATTTTGATCCAGAGGAGCAGCGGTTCTACTCCGAGTCCCTCCCGAATGTCTGAGCTCCTCACCCTATCTCTAAGGCTGAGCCCGGCCACCCTACGGAGGAAACTCATTTGGGCCGCTTGTATCCGTGATCTCGTTCTTTCGGTCCTTACCCAAAGCTCATGACCATAGGTGAGGATTGGGACGTAGATGGACCGGTAAATCGAGAGCCTGGCTTTCTGGCTCAGCTCCCTCTTCACCACGACAGATTGGCTCAGCGTCCGCATCACTGCAGACGCCGAACCAATCCGCCTGTCGATCTCCCGATCCCTCCTACCCTCACTCGTGAACAAGACCCCGAGATACTTAAACTCCTCCACTTGAGGTAGGACCTCTCTCCCGACCCGGAGTTGGCCAGCCACCCTTTTCTGGTCGAGAACCATGGTCTCAGATTTGGAGGTGCTGATCCTCATCATCGTTCTAACATTGTATAGTTATAAATATAGCCTGGAGATTAAAAACATTAATAATGTGGTTCTCTCGCATTTGTCTAAAAACCTTCGCCAACAACACGTTTCTAACCGAACGCAACTATTAGACCATCTGGTTGTTGGTAGGACTGAGGCACTGCACTCCCGTATTCGGCACCAGAACACCACTGGTGTGAGAGGTTCTCTGACCAATATCATCAGAGAAGGAGAAACAGCTAACACTTCAACTTTAGGACGGACTACCAGAGTTCTAAAAACAAAAACACAACTTCGCATGGACAACAAAAGATGTTTGGGCCGAGAAAACGGAGACTGATGTTTAGCGCTTTCTTGTTTCCTTTGGAAATGCAGGTTCCCCTATCAGGGGGCGTGGCCTAGGGTGAGACTTCCCCGACTGTTTGTGTTTAGCTTGTTTTGCAGATTTGCCATTGCAGCTTTAAAGATCTTATATTTGACTTCTTATTAGGGCTGGGCGATATGGCCCAAAATCAACATCACGATATATTGAGGATTTTACCTCGATAACGATAAACGGACGACAACTACAGAAATGTGCAGAAACAAAAGTTTTCCACTAGTTGAGTCACATTTTTACGTGACTCAGGTGGTACAGCTCCTTAGCGGGACATGAACGTTGCCAGCCTACACACATCTTTTCATTTTTTATTTATCAAATTTATTGACGTGGGAAAAATTATCTCGATAAAAGTCAGAAATTTCGATAACGATAAGTTTTCGATTTATTGTCCAGCCCCACTTTATCTTATGTCATAAAGAAGTTTCGGACTATAGACAGGGTATCTGCAGGTTTAAGGGAGCCAAATTTAAGACTTTTTAAGACCTTTTTTAAGGCCACTGACCAAATTTAAGCTATTTAAGCAAGGCAGCAGTAGCTCAACAGGTTGAGCGGGTTGTCCAGTAATCGGAAGGTTGCAGGTTTGATCCCGGCTCCGGACAGAGAATTCTGCTGTTGTGTCCTTGGGCAAGACACTTAACCCACCTTGCCTGCTGGTGGTGGTCGGAGGGACCGGTGGCACCTGTGCTCGGCAGCCTCTGTCAGTGCGCCCCAGGGCAGCTGTGGCTACATCGTAGCTCATCACCATCAGTGTGTGAATGTGTGTGTGAATGGATGAATGATACACTGTAATGTAAAGCGCTTTGGAGTCCTTACTCGGAGAGGCGCTATGCAAGTGTGGGTCATTTATCATTTGAAAAAATTAAATTTAAGCTATAATTTCCAGCTATTGCCTGGAACCGGTGCTAACCACGCTGCTATCATGGGATTAGCCATCCAGTTACCATTAAACTTCCACTTCCCCATGGCGCAAGCTCCCACTAGCTTAACCAGCTAACGTGCTCATCTAAAAATAGCCCCCTTTCACAACCAACTGAACGTGTACGGTTCCGCTTACGCCAACATCGTACACAAAAATGCTGAACGCTAACTGGAAATTCACGAAAATTTTATAGAAATAAAAGAATCTTGTTTATTGGGTCTTTGGTAATTTAAGACCTTTGGAAACTGTATTTAAGGATTATTTGTAATTTTTAAGGCCTTAAATTTGGAAAAGCTAATTTAAGACTTTTTAAAGACCCGCAGATACCCTGTAATAGAGCTCAGACTGCCACACACACACACACACACACACCACACACCACACACCACACACCACACACCACACACCACACACCACACACACACACACACACACACACACACACACACACACACACACACACACACACACACACACACACACACACACACACACACACAGTGACCTACTTCTCCGGCCTCCAGTCAGGGGTGCTGAGTGTTGTGATGCACACAGATGGATTATGTGTCAGGGTTAGATGGATGAAAACGGATGCAACAAAAGAGCAAAGCAACACAAATCATAGTGAGTTAATGGGATGTTTACAGCCAAACAAAAACGATGTCAGCCACATAAACAGAACTCCGTGCAGAAACTGGTGAACGCTGCTGCTCACCTGAGCTGGCTGCGGAGCGAGCCGATCTCTCGGGTCATGGTCTGACTGCTGTCCGTTAGCTCCTCCAGCTCCCGCTGCAGCTTCCGTTTCTGAGCGTTGGAGCGAGAGTTCTCCTCCTCCACCTCTTCCAGCTGCCTCTTCAGCTGCTTGAGTCGGACCATTGACTTGTCCAGCTGGAAGAGGGTGAGGCGAGACGTGCAGTGAGGCAGATTAGCGTGTGAACAGCAAGATCAGATTAAAACATGCAGATTATTGCTGATGATATTTTAGGAGGCAGGTCGGTCTCTGTTGTGGGTGTGGGTGGGATTTTTTTTTCACTCTAAGTTGAACACACAGATGCCTGGACTGAATTAGGATTAGTCTGAACTGAGACGACTGAATCCTTTTAATTTAGGGAAGGTATTTTTTTATTTTATAAACAACAAACGCAGGAAGCTCATCTGACCAAAGCCTCATGAAGGGATCATCGTCGGTTTCCTGAGAGAAAGGTAAGGTGCGTAACTTTAGAGTTGGTACCTGTTCTCTGTACTGGTCTGCGTGTCTCCTCTCGTCCTCCGACTGCATCATCACTTCCTTTAGTTTCTTCTCCGTCTTACGCACCAGTTTGTTGGCGATGGCTCTTTCTCTGTGAGGTAGAAACATCGGTTTATGCTCAGCTAACGGTGTTGCATCTTTAGAGTGTTTAACCCTCTGGGGTCCAGGGAGCCATTTTTGACCAATTTAGAGTTTTCCTTTGTATTTCCAAAATAAAACCATAACTGCTGCCTTATGTGGTATGAGTCTTTTCAGCACAACCTGGACTTTATGAATTTACTTATTTTTTATATTTGGACATAAAGGGGTTGCATATTAGACCTTAAATCACTCAAAAACATAAAATCCGAATTGGAAAAAAGTTGTTTATTTTACTGTGAAACCAACAAACATTTATGACAAATGTTTTTTATAATTTAGAATGGTAATCTAGACTGTACATTAATAAAAAATATGAATATAGCAAATAAGACATATTTTTAAAACTTATTAGCCCTCTGGGGTCCAGGGTGTAAATCACCGTTTTTGTCTCATTTTGGTTTTTCTTTTGTATTTTCTAATAAAAACAATAAATATTGCCTTATGGGTTTTTTTTTTCAGGACAACCTGGACTATCTGAATTTTTACTTATTTTATTAATTTGGCAATAATCTACATGCATTTTGGAGTGGGGAGTGGCGCTGTCAGCTGTGCGGCGCCGCCCACTCCTCTTGTTGGATCTCCGAGGAGCTGCATCTCTGCCTTCATCCTCTACCTCATCATGACCCAACTCTTCTAGGAGGAAGGATGGATCTGCGTCATCGTCATCAACATCCTCGCTATTTGCCTCAGACTCCGGCTGTGAGTCTCCGTCCACTTCCTCTGCTTCCAGTTCAAAAAACAGCCGTACTATCTGGACTGCCTGGTGGACATTTATCCTTCTCATCATCCTTTATTAAAGCCTAATAAAAGCCTACTAAATTGCAGAGACAATAAATCCGTCCAGATCGCTCCAAAATCTGAAGTTTACCGTCAATATCTGTCTAATTGTTTGTTGTTCCTCCGGTCGCGCCACTCCTTTCCCCGCCAAGCGGCTCCTTTTTGCGCACATCTCGTTACTCATGCGGCCTTCCTCTCTCTCTCAGCTACATAATGATGCTTTTTATCAACTGAATATGTGAGACTTCCACCAACAGTGAAAGGATCTCATGTTTTTGTGGGTTTTTTATGTTCACAAGCACATTCCCTCTCACGGATTACTAAACTGCTGTTTTGACAAGTTATCAGATTGTCTAAAAATAGGTCGTTTTTTTAGTTTAGCATAACTCCGCTTTCACGTTGCCTATTAACACAATTTAAAAACTGGGGTGTAGTTCATAATCTCCTTTTTAACCCTCTGATGCATGAATTATGAAATATTAAACCATGATTTTTTTTAACAATTTTTTTCATTCATCTTTAGGTGTGAATGAAACAAATTTCATATTTACATAGTTTTTGTGACATTTAATTTACAAATGACTTATTACACGTCCACCTCAGTGGACAGCGTGCATTATGAACATGAAATATGTTGGCTTGCCTTACTGAAGTCCAAATGGAGGGGCTCAAATGCAATAAAGTCTTCAACAGCTGTGCTTAATAGCAAAAATAAATAAATAACAATTTTGAGTACCTGTCCACTTTAGTGACCATTAAGCATCAAAGGGTTAAAGCTGAATTGAAACCGAAACTCAAGGAGGCGGAGTCTTGCTGCTACAGCGTCCCAAATCAGACCTGTTCAAAAGACGCGGATACGCGTCCGCGGACCCCGGAGGGTTAAAGAACAATCTTACTCTTTGATTGCAAAAAAAAAAAAAACTGCTAACCATCCTTGAATGTGAGAATTTTGATGAAACTTAAATTTACGTTTATGCAAATGATATTTTGACGGCGGTCCAACCTGTTTATATTTATCAGTGAAACAAAAATCAATAAAAATATGAATTGATCTGGTAGAATTTGGTCTTTTTTAAACCGATTATCTTGTTTCCCTTACTGTCTCTCTTGTTCCAGCTGCTCCTCCATTGATTCAACCTTGGCCTCCAGGGCGGCGACGCTGAGCTTGTGTTTGCCCCTCACTGCTCCTTCCAGCTCCTCCAGCCGGGTCTTCAGCTCCTTGTTCTGCCTCTCCAGCAGCTCTCGGGACATCTCCGCCTTCTGGGCTAAGGTCCTTTCTCCCTGCAGCTGCACCGTCAAAGTCTCCACCTGTGGCGTGAGCAGAGCAGCGGTGAGGGTTCACTCAGCTGGCTAACAAACAGGGAGATTTTTGCGTGTGTGTGTGTGTGTGTGTGTGTTTCTATCACACCTGCAGAGCGGTCTTCCTTTGCCTTTCTGCCACCAGCTCAGAGTTGCTCTGCTCTTCCTCCAGCTCCTCTTCCAGTTGACTGACTCGGGCCTCCAGCCTCCGTTTCTCTTCAAACAGTGCGTTCCTGGACAAACGTTGATCTCTGTAGTACCAATGTCGCCACAGAACTAAAAAAGACTCTGATTAGCGTGAAAACTAAGATGTAAGCTACTAACTTTCCCGAACTGCTGTTGACCATCTCCTCTGATAGCTCGTCCCTCTCCTGCTGAGCCTGTTTCTTCTGCCTCTCGGACACAGCCAGCTCCTGCAGAAAGACACGGACATGCAGGTAAAATAAATGAGCGCTTCAGGGTGTCGTAACATTAAATCACATAAAAAACCAACGAACCTCTGAGAGATGCAGCACCTCTGCCTCTAGTGTTTGTATTTTCTTCTCGCTGTCTTTGGACTGAGCGATCACCTCCTCCCGAGATAACTTGGTCTCATCCAGCTCCCTAAGAACTTCCTTCATTTGACCCTGTGAGGACCGAAGCAGACATTTTAGTACCATTATTCTGCCCAGAAAGAAGCTTTTGAGAGGACCGATTTTGACCTGCAGCCTCCGTAGATGCTTAACAGCCTCCTCTTTGCCACGACTGGCTGCCTCCAGTTGGGCCTCGGCCTCCTGCAGCTCTGCTTCCAGCTGCTTCTTGGACGACGCAGCCTGAGCCCGCTGAGTTTTCTCTTCCTCTAAGTGAATCTCCAACTCTTTCACCTGTTAAGGACACAAGAGACGCAAAAAAGAATAACTCTGAAAAGCTCAGACCAAATAAACAAAGGTGAAGCCAGTTCTTTGCTGCTCCTCCTCCTGATTTTCCTACCTGCTTGCTGAGGGTCCTCCTCTTCTCCTCTCCCTTCTCTTCACTGGCAGCGATCTCCCTCTCGAACTGAGCTTTGAGTGCCTGCAGAGTGACCTCCAGCCTCAGCCTCGAGTCCTCCGCCTCCGCCAGCTCCTCCTCCAGATCCTCAGTCTGAGTTCGTAAGCTCTGAGCTTCTGTTTCTAAGGCTCTCCGGGTCCGCTCTAGCTCGTGGACCTAAAGCAGATGCAGTTAGGAAGCTGTAACCGCTGGAAGAGCGATGCAAACGTTTCACCTGGCAGATTCGTACATTTTTGCCGACGTCGTCCTGCTGGTTTACGAGCTGCTCCATCTCCTGACGGAGCTGCTTGTTGATCCTCTCCAGCTCGTCTCTTTGGTCCTGGACCTCCTGCATACAGACACAGAGGATGGATGATCAGAATCATCAATACATGATGAACATTCATGCTTTCTGTGGAATAGTTTACCTGCAGGGAACGAGACAGCGACAGACATCTTGTTTCCTTCTCTCTGTTGTCTGCTTCCGCTTTGTCCCTCTCCTCCGCCAGACGAGCGCTCACTGCCTTTTCCTCCGCTAAAGACTGAGGAGCGGGAATAAAGAAAAGGCGGAGATAAAATAAGTAATGAAAGTAACCTAAATGACCGCCTCTGCCCGTCAAAACATGAAAACCTTTACTTGTCTCACCTGGTCAAACTTCTTCTGCCGTTTTTCAAGAGCGGTGCAGTTCTGCCTCTCTCTCTGCAGGGCGATTGTCATGTCCTCCAACTCCTCCCTCAGTCGTTCCCTCTGCCTCTCCACTCGTTCCTTCTCCTCCTCCTTCTGTCGCTCTCTTTGAGCGGTGCTGTCCAGCTCTCTCTGGAGCTTCCTGCGCACCTCCTCTCCAGCCTCCACCGCTGTGCTCACCTCCTCTGATTGCTTACGGAGCTCTGTGAGCTGCACGACAAAATGTACAATACTGTATGCGTTTTTATTTCTCCATCAGCTCCGTATTTATTTATTTTTTTGGTTTGCATTGATTCTTGCTGACTCTTGTCTATCTAATAAAGGCGGAGCAGCACTTAAGGAGTTTACTCGAGCTAGACCGGGCTGCTCACTTACCTGCTGGGTGTGCGTTTGTATCTGACGCGCCATCTCTTTGACCCTCTCCTCCTCCTCCTCTAGTCTTTCCATCAGTCCGTTCTTCTCCTCCTCCAGAGCTCGCACCCTTGAGGCCAGAGCCATCTTCTGACGAGATTCATCTTGCAGCAGTTCCTGAAACAAAGAAAAGACAAAAGTCGGGTTCAGGTGTGAGCGCAAGACTGCAAAATCTGTCTCTATTATTGGATTAAGACCCCTGAAGTTACACCTGGAACAACTCTGGTGTCTGACTAGGAATGTATTACCTTTGCGTCATGCAGCTGGCTCTCCAGGTTGTTTGCTTCTTTAGCGAGCCGCAGAGATTTGCTATCAGAGGATGACAAACTGCTGGAGAGGCCTTCAATTTCACACTGAAAGAGTCGGTAATAGAACAAAAGAATAAATCTTCACCGCAGCAAAACAATTTCATCGTTTAAATAAAGAATAACCACGATGACATCACTGCACCTGCAGCTTGTGTAGTCGCTCCTCCCGGTCTTCCCGCTCTCTGTCGGCCTGAGCCAGACGGGCGTTGAGCTCCTGCAGCTGACTTTCGGCCCTTTTGCGACCTCTCTCGCTGTCAGAACGGCTCCCTTGGAGGCTCTTAATCTCATCCATTAAGTTCTGCCTCTCCTCCTCCAGCATGGCTTTGGCTTTCTCGAGGGACTGTCGAGTCTGAAGAGTGAGTAGCGGTGCATGTTTGAGGAGAAAGTCACCCCCAGATCAACTTTTCTTGCTGATAAACTATGTAAGTGAGTGTCTGACCGTGCTGTTGACATGTGTAGTCAATAATTTTGGCACTTAAGTGTATCTTTGTTAAAATTTCAATACAGTAATCCCTCGCTACTTCGCGGTTCGTTCATCGCGGATTCGCGGATTTTTTCTTTGGAGCATTTTTCAGGGGGAATTCGCTGATTCGCGGTATTTTTCTATGCGAAATATCAAGAAATTCTTGTTTTTTTTCATCAATTTCATCATAAAATGCACTTTTTGTAATAAAACTAAAAAAAAAACAAGTAAAAAAATTTTTCTTCTTGAGTTTTACCCACAAAAAGAGAATGTGATCATACGATAATTCAATATAGTACTGTATGTCAGACAGGGCGGCTGGATTCGGGAGCTGAGCTTGTAGGGAGCGTGGTTTCACAGACGCGGAAGTGAGAGCGTCGGTGAAACGCCGGCTGATCTAGGAAACCCCCGAGCATTCGAGCGTCAACGAAGTGACACGGAAATGCCGGGCTTTCCAGAAGTAAGTAAGATAACTTACTATGAGCTGATAATTTGTTGGATTGATCGGTAGGTTGGAAACTCTGATCATGAATCTGAAGAAACGATGACTGAGAGGTGAGCTAGAAAGGCGACTTCCGTTTATAGCCGCGGTTTGTGACGTAGGTGCGACGTGGAGGGAATCCCCGCGAGGGGCATGCTGGGAGTCCCTACTTCGCGGATTTTCACCTATCGCGGCCAGGTATGGAACGCATCTACCGCGATAAACGAGGGATTACTGTATTCTGCCTAAAACTGTCAGTGTTCTACCCTATTTAGGTATCAGGTCTGCCAGGCAACAGCATTTGTTGCATTTTTCAAACAGGAAGTGGGAGTGGAGTAAGAATCTGGTAGGGGGTGGACTTGCTCTTTAACTGCGAACGTGTGTGTGTGTGTGTGTGTGTGTGTGTCGTACTCTCTTGCTGTTGTCCAGCTGCTCCTGAAGGCTGTCTATGGTAGCGCTGTGTTTCACTCTGAGCTCTGACAGCTGCACCTCATGGCGGCGAGTCTCTTCTTCGACACATCGCTGCAGATCATTTAACTCCGCCTCCCGACGAGACCTGTGTGTGAGAAAACAACGTCCCGTTTAAGCTCCTCGGTCGTGGCCCGATGATTAAAAACACAAACGATGAAGATTCTGTTTCAAAGTCCAAGTTTCTGGCAGTGTTTGCCTCAGCTCTTGCTGTGCTGCTGTGGTGTCGAGTGTGTCCTCCAGCTCAGTTCTCAGAGCCTCCAGCTCCTCCCCGAGGTCTCGCTTCTGTTTCTCCGCTCTTTCCCTCATCCCTCGTTCGTTCTCCACCTCCTCCTTCAGCTCAGACACTTGGGACAAGGACTCCCTCAGAGCCCTCTGAGCTTCAGCCCGACGTGCGCTTTCTTCCTCCAGCCTGACAAAGACGAATCAATAAAAAGAAACATGAAAAATCTTTCACAGGCTGACACTTGATACACAACGATGGAGACTCACCTGCCCTGTAAGGAGGTTATTTCTTTCTCCTTTTGAGACAGCGTTCCCCTCAGCTCAGCAGCTAGCATGCCCAGGTCCGACAGCTGCTCCTGAGCCTCCAGAGAGTCACTCTCCATCCTCCTCTTCCACTTCTCCTGCTCCAAGCGGCCCTGCTCCTCACGCTTCAGACGCTCTGCAAACGGCGATAAAAACTAAGTGAAAAAGTTCTCGAACAAAGGGCAACCTTCAGGAAAATAACGATTTATCATTTTCTCATCAAACTGCGCCCGGCGGGACTCAAAACATATATGGATTTAATAAATCAGGTGAGCAGTATGATTATCTCTTTGTAGAAAGTTATAAATCCTTTTTACTTTAAGAGATTCTTGGATTTAGATTCTCTTTTCAGGACAGTTAATTAATCCTTTATTGGTGAATTGAAACAAACAGCTCAGACTGAAAGTCTTACCCTCTAAATCGGCGATGATAGCCTCCTGTTTGTTCTTAAGTTTGTTTAGACTTTTAGTTTTCTCCTCCTCCTCAGTAAGCTGGTCTGTCACCTCACTCAGATGCTCCTCCAGCAGCTTTTTCTCCTGCTCACAGACAAATAAATGTCACGTGTCGCGTCACACAGGACACGCATAACCGCGAGGATTCCACGTGAAGTCCACCTTGATGACTCGGTCTCTCTGCTCCCCTGCAGTTAGGAGATCCGTCTCTAAACTCTTCACTCTGGTCTCCAAGGTAACCTTCTCCAAAAGGAGGCGCTGTCGCGCACTTTCTTCTTCCTCCAGCTGCTCCTCCAGGTCCTGAAAAATAAACAAAAAACTTAAGTAACGTGACAAGCAACAATTCTTTCTTCATTCCCGTTTTTAAAGTCGTATCTCAAACTCTGCAACTCCTCCCCCTCACCTGTAACGTCTGCTGCATCCTTTTCTTCTCGTTCCCTAGCTGCACGCCCCTCTCTTCCTCCTCCACCAGCCGACTCTCCATCTCGCTCAGAACTTCCTCCAGCTCCTGTTTCCGACTGGCTAACCTGGCCCTCATCTCCTCCGCCTCTGCAAACAGCTCTGCCTCCGCCTGCAGCTGGTCGGTCAGCACTGCCTTCTCCTCCAGCAACTGGAACATGATGGAGAGAGTGGGTGGAGGGGTGATAGGTGAAGGCTGATTCACAGTGGTGAAAAACAGGAGGACAAGCAGCTAAACGTGATGACAGTGTTATTTACCTGAGCGTGCTTCCTGTCCAAATCAGTGTATTCCTGTTCGGCTTTGGCGAGTTTGTCCTTGGCCTTGTTCAGCTCAGACTCTCTAGCCTGAATCTCCTCATCCTGTCGAGTCACCTGGAGCAAAGGCTTCACCTGGTTGGCACAAAAACAAAGGCCAAATATGACGTTTGGATTTTATTAGGACTAGAACTCACATTTTTGTCGTAAATTAGCAGGAATGTTTTATATTGTTCGTTTTGTTTCCTGTAATCAACATGAACTCGTGTCAGACTTGTGCACCTTAGTGAACAGTCGCCACCACTGCCAGTTTCTGAGTTTGAGATATGCAGCACAGTTCCTCTGCATCACCCTGAGAGCGCTCAGCTGCTGCTGCTTCTTCATAAAGGCTCTGAGACGCGAAAAACAAGAGTCACAATCAGAAAACCAACACACACACGTCCTTGTACAGGTCACCTGGAACACATAAAACTTCTAAACACATAAAAAACACCAGGCTGCAGTAAAAGTTAAAAGCAACACCAGACTGACTAAATTGTTGTGACCTGTGCTCTACCACACCCAACTACAAATATTAACTTTGGTTACAGTTGACTTGTTAGAAACACATTTACTTGGAAAAGCGGATGTTGTTAGACAAAAAGCACGTGAAAGAGCACAAAGGGACTTCTAAACACTTTGTGTTAACACTTGTATCGTGCCGGTTTCATCTACACTCACCTAAAGGATTATTAAGAACATCTGTTCAACTTCTCCTTAATGCAATTATCTAAACAACCAATCACAAGGCAGTTGCTTCAATGCATCTAGGGGTGCGGTCCGGGTCAAGACGATCTCCTGAACTCCAAACTGAAGGTCAGAATGGTTGTTGGTGCCGGACGGGCCGGTCTGAGTATTTCACAATCTGCTCAGGGCTACATGGTGGCGCAGTGGTTAGCACTGTTGCCTCGCAGCATGAAGGTTGCAGGTTCGAAACTCGGCTGCAGCCTTTCTGCGTGGAGTTGCGTGTTCTCCCCGTGCATGCATGGGTTTCCTCCGGGTACTCCGGTTTCCCCCACAGATCACAACATGCCCTATAGGTTATAAATTGTAAGTCGCTTTAAAAGCGTCTGCTAAATAAATAAACATAAACATAGTTACTGGGATTTTAACCCACAACCATTTCTAGGCTTTACAAAGAATGGTGTGAAAGGGGAGAAACATCCAGTATGCGGCAGTCCTGTGGGCGAAAATGCCTTGTTGATGCTAGAGGTCAGAGGAGAATGGGCCGACTGATTGAAGCTGATAGAAGAGCAGCTTTGACTGAAATAAGCACTCGTTACAACCGAGGAATGCAGCAAAGCATTTGTGAAGCCACAGCGCGCACAACCTTGAGGCGGATGGGCTACAGCAGCAGAAGACCTCACCTGGTACCACTCATCTCCACTACAAATAGGAAAAAGATGATACAGTTTGCACCAGCTCACCAAAACTGGACAGTTAATGACTAAAAAATGTAGCCTGGTCTGATGAGTCTCGATTTCTGTTGAGACATTCAGATGGTCGAGTCAGAATTTGGTGTAAACAGAATGAGAACATGGATCCATCATCCTTTTCCACTGTGCAGGCTGGTGGTGGTGGTGTCATGGTGTGGGGATGTTTTCTTGGCACACTTTAGGCCTCTTAGTCCCACTTGGGCATGGTTGAAATGCCACAGGCTACCTGAGCATTGTTTCTGACCATGTCCATCCCTTCATGACCACCATGTACCCATCCTCTGATGGCTACTTCCAGCAGGATAATGCACCAGGTCATAAAGCTCCAATCATTTCTAACTGGTTTCTTGAACATGACGATGAGTTCACCGTACTACAACGGCCCCCACAGCCACCAGATCTCAACCCGATAGAGCATCTTTGGGATGTGGTGGAACGGGAGCTTCGAGCCCTGGATGTGCATCCCACACATCTCCATCAGCTGCAACATGCTG